CCCCCCCCCCCTCGCAAGCTTTGGCTAGACATGACACCATGGGGCTAGGGCTGCCAGCTAGGGGTGGCTAGGCGGCTCGCAGTGCCAGTCACGGACGGTCCCCAACCTAGGTGTCCCTCACGGCAGCCAAGACAATCCCGCGCATTTACATAATGCGATCCCCTTCTCCATCTTTAGTCGTGGAGACGCCTTGTCTTGTGTGCTTTTCTTTTATCTTGCAGGAAAACAAGGCATCCTCTCGTGATACATCGGGCCATTCTCCTTGCTAGAACACAGGTCGCGCCTATCCTAGCAGCTCTTCTCAAGGACCCCTTCACTCATCTCCCACAAGGTACCGAGTTCGGCCGGCCCATCTTGCCAACCATGTCCGAACTCAGCAAGAACTTCGAGACCCTGCAGCTCCACGCTGGGTAGGTTCCTCTCAAGCTCGTCTCATCGCGAGAAAGGTTTGATGCTGACCTCAATGACAGCCAGGAGCCCGACCCGGCGACCAATTCGCGGGCCGTCCCCATTTATGCCAGCACGGTACGTTTACCTCGGTCTGATGATTCAAATCACGGACAGTGGCATTGACAAGGCCGGTCTTCCCCAGAGCTTCGTTTTCAACGACTCGGCGCACGGCGCGCGCCTGTTCGGGCTCAAGGAGTTCGGCAACATTTATAGCCGCATCATGAACCCGACCGTCGACGTGTTCGAGAAGCGCATCGCGGCCCTCGAGGGCGGCGTGGCCGCAGTCGCCACGTCGTCGGGCCAGGCGGCCCAGTTCATGGCCATTGCAGCGCTGGCCCAGGCGGGCGACAACATCGTGTCGACGTCCAACCTGTACGGCGGCACCTACAACCAGTTCAAGGTCATGTTCCCGCGCTTCGGCATCACGACCAAGTTCGTAGACGGCGATAAGCCCGAGGACCTGATCGCCGCCATCGACGACAAGACCAAGGCGGTCTACGTCGAGAGCATTGGCAACCCCAGGTATAACATTCCCGACTTTGAGAAGCTCACGCAGCTGGCCCACTCAAAAGGCGTCCCTGTGATTGTAAGTAGTCTCCGCCTCCTGGGTCATCACACAGGAGCTAACAAAGTAAACAGGTCGACAACACCTTTGGCGCGGGCGGCTTCTTCGTGCGCCCCATCGAGCACGGCGCCGACATTGTGGTGCACAGCGCGACCAAGTGGATCGGAGGGCACGGGACCACCATCGGAGGAATCATCGTCGACTCGGGCAAGTTCGACTGGGGCAAGCACGCCGCGCGGTTCCCGCAGATGGTCGAGCCCTCCGAGGGGTACCACGGGCTCAAGTTCTGGGAGACGTTCGGCCCCATCACCTTCATCATCCGCGTGCGCGTCGAGCTGCTCCGCGACCTGGGCGCCTGCCTCAACCCCTTCGCGGCGCAGCAGCTGATCTTGGGCATCGAGACGCTGAGCCTGCGGGCCGAGCGGCACGCGTCCAACGCCCTCGCCCTGGCCCGCCACCTCGAGTCCAGCCCCCACGTCAGCTGGGTGTCGTACCCGGGCCTCGAGAGCCACCCGAGCCACGAGACAGCCAAGCGGTACCTCAAGCGCGGCTTCGGCGGCGTGCTGAGCTTCGGCGTCAAGGGCGGCGGCGCCGCGGGCAGCCAGGTCGTCGACGGGTTCCGCCTCATCTCCAACCTGGCCAACGTGGGCGACAGCAAGACGCTGGCCATTCACCCCTGGAGCACGACGCACGAGCAGCTATCAGAGCAGGAGAGGATTAGCTCGGGCGTGACCGAGGACCTCATCCGCATCTCGGTGGGCACCGAGCACATTGACGACATCATTGCCGACTTTGAGCAGTCCTTCAAGAGCGTGGTCGAGGGTGGTCAGCCGGCCGGGCAGAATACTGGGGCCAACCTGTAGTTATATAAGAAAGAGTATACAAAGAAGGACTGTAGAGAAGCCTGTGGCCCGTTTAATCAAAATACCCTCTTGTGTTGACGGGTTCCTAGACTGGTTCTGGTTGAGAGTCGGATGAAATTGCAACGTGAAATGAAGACCAATAGCAGTGTTGGTAAAATATGTGGGGCGGGCCAAGACACGAAACGACGCACGCACATCATGGCGACAGATCCAGCCAGCTTACCTAAAAACCGACCATCGACGACAACCCACAGCTCACTCCCCAGCTAAACCGCCACAATTCCCCAGGGCAAACGAGACCAACCTCTCGCACCCCTCCAAAATGAAATTCCCCCTCCTCTCCCTCCTCGGCCTAGCCGGGAGCGCCCTATCCTCATCCGCCGCCGCCGCCGCCATCCTCTTCACGATCCCCGCCTCGCACGCCGTCCCGAACCCCAACGCCCTCGCGGCCGCCACGCGCGCAACGCTCTCGGCCCGGGGCGGCCCGTCCCTGTCCGCGCCGCTCACCGCGTCCAACGGCTTCGTGTTCCCGCGCGTGCCGCCGGGCTCGTACCTGCTCGACGTGCACAGCGGCTCGCACGCCTTTGCGCCGCTGCGCGTCGACGTGGCGCCCGCGGGCGCGGGCGTCGGGGCCGCCTCGGCGGGCAGGAAGCAGGAGCCGCAGCGGCTGGCCGTCTCGGCCTGGGAGACATTCCGCGGCAACGACTGGGGCAACAAGGGCGAGGCGGCGAGGCGGGCTGAGGACGGCGGCGGGGCGTTCGAGGTTAGGTGTCTGGGGAGGAAGGAGTACTACATGGAGCGCAGCAGCTGTAGGTTTTTTTCTTGCGTCCCTCTCGTGTTGTCGTGTTATTCTATGATCGTCTTGACTAACCTCCGCCCGCAGTCTCCGTCCTGAGCATCCTCAAGAACCCCATGATCCTGCTCGCCATGGTCAGCATGGGCATCTTCCTCGGCATGCCGTACCTGCTCGAGAACAGTAAGCTTATTCCCCCCTTCCCTCGCTCCCCAACAGCGTGTATCTCCCTTGCAACTCTACACGTCACTGACACATGTCATCCCTTACTTAGTGGACCCCGAAGTCCGCGCCGAGTTCGAGTCCCGGCAGAAGAGCAACCCGATGAGCGCGGTGCTGGGCGGCGGCGGCCAGCCCGGCGGCGGCTTTGATATGGCCGCCTTCCTCGCCGGCTCCAACAACAACGGGCCCAAGAGGGAAGACGCCGGCACCCCGCCGCCCCAGTCGAGCACGGGCAATGGCGGAGGCAAGAAGAACCAGCGGAGGTGATGGAACGTGCCGTGGAATGTGTGCGGTGCGAGACATGGGCTAAGATATAGCGGAGCACACGAGAACGGGTAGTTTGAGCTTCGCATAGGTGCATATCTAGACAGTGTACAATCGCCGCGGCGGCTTGTTCATGCGCTATAGACTGGTAGATTTCAAGCTTGACTTGTACAGAATTGACGACTCTGAAGCCATCTCCGAACGTTATCTGCACATTTGCGTGTTGCTAACATCATCCTTCGGGTCTCAGGGGCTCGAATGTGCCTTTAATTGTACGTGATAGTTACGGCGCCCAAACCAAAGTCTGCAGTTCTGGTCACATTGCTCCAAGCCTTCGCTGCGCCAAATTATCCTCCCCTTTCCTCTTCACCTTTCACAAAACCTCTGGGGCAGGGGTTATAGCCCAACAAGCGGGCATCTGCCTGTCAGCGACAAACTAGCGGGTAGACCCATCATCTCGAGAGTGCACTTGGAAACTACCGGGATGTGCATCACCCCTGTGAGTGCTGTGAACGTGCAGAGCTCCCAAAGGGATAAAGCATCTCGTATTTGAGCAATGCGATACAGTCTTCAGCCAAAACCAACGACAGAAACTAACACAAGGACACTACAAAAGAAATACAGATATCTAACCAGAATTATAAACAGTGAAGCTAATCAGGGCGAAATAACATATAAAGAAACCCTTCCAGCGTGAGAGGTGGCGCAGCAGGCGTGATGACTGAAAAAGAATGAGATGGACGAAAGCACTAAACCAGCAGCTCCTGCTAGTTCTTCCAGACTGGCCTCCCCTCGGCCAGCCCATGACTTAAAAGTCGCCGCCGAAATCGCCGCCGCCAAAATCGCCACCACCACCGAAATCGCCGGCTCCGTCCTGGTAGCCCTCCTGGTAGGGGTTGTGGTCGCTATGGCTCATGGCGCCGCCGAGCACCGCGGCGCCCACAAAGCTGGCACCGATGCCCAGCGCCGCGCCGCCCGCCATACCCATGCCGGCGCCCCCGGGCCTGCGCCCTGCCGGCGCCTGTTGCTGCGGGTACGGGTAGCCGCCGTACGACTGCGGGGGCTGTTGTTGGTTATACCGGGATTGCTGTTGGTTATGCTCGTAAAGGTGCTGCGGCGGGTAATAATGCATGCCACTAGGCTGCGGCTGCGGCGACGGGTGAGGGTAGAACGCCGGCTGTGGTGATCCGTAATGTCCCTGAGGTTGTGGTGACCCATGCTGCTGGCCAGAGCCCGGATAGCCGGGGTTGTGACCCACGCTGAAGGGCTGTGGCTGATGGGGCGGTGCGATGGCCTGTTGCGGCTGCGGTTGGGTCGGCTTCTTTCTGGACCTGGGCTTGAAGAGGTCAAGGATGCCGCACATGGCCTTCTCCGGTTTCCGCGCCGGTACCTGGTCGGGAAAAGGCTGGGCAGGCGAGGCGACGGCGCGCGCGCGTCTGTGCTCCTCCGCCTTTGAGGTGGGGTTGACTGAAGAAGAGAGGGCAAGCAGGAGAAGCAAGAAGGAAACATGAAAGTCAATGGGACTGGTGCAAGGATTTATATTTTTGGTAGCGGCCATCTGCATGGCCGCCTGGGCAGCGGATGTATCATATTGACCAACCAAATCGCATGATGGTCATGTGCACAACGGAGCCTGGCCGCTTTCCTGGCCTGGCCAGCAAACAAGGCATTCATGCGTCCTCCGGGAGGATGCCGCCAGTGAGCCTCAGTGGCCCAGTAGCCAGTAGAGGGTGGATGTCAAGGGTAGATGGTTGTTGGTCAGACCAGAGGGTTGACGCCACACTTATTCCACATCCATTTGGATGGGGTCGTCCGGCAAGCTGAGCCGGTGGCTCTTGAGAAATTCGCAAGCTAGACGGGACGGTCCGGATGTACGATAGAAGCAATTGTCAACACGCCGCAATACTTGGGCTGTGGCCGCACGGAATTTTCTTGTCCCTGCCTAGGCTACTGGCATATTCCCTTTGTCAGTCTGGAGCTGGGAAGGCACGTGACAGGCTACGAGTTTTTGATAGGCTAATTGCCCGCTGGAAACTGCCTGGAGCTCCAGCGCGATGCTGCGCGACCAGTGCAAGCGGGGAAAATCTAGCTTTCGGACCGCGCTGGAGTGGAGCACGTGCAGTGCCCCAGCAGCAACCGTCGTCCGAAACCCGACTGCTTGTCGCGCGGCGACTGTTTTGATTGTGTGTTGTGTCGTGGCATTGCTGAGCAATCGAACAGAAGTCCATTACTACCTGTTTTCTTTTGCCCCGTGTATTATATCGGAGAGGCTCATCCTAGCTGGCGTATTTTCTGGTTTTCTTCTTCTGTTGGATATTACTTTTTTTTTTTTTGATCACTCCCGCTCTTGTCTTTTTTTATTATCCCTTGGCGCGATCCACGAACGCTACCGGGCCGAGCCCAACCGCCACCACCAGTCACCATGCGGTTCGGTAAGACGCTCCGCCAGGCCACGCACGCGCCGTGGAAAGACAAGTACATCGACTATACCAAGCTCAAGTCCCTCCTGCGCGAGGATCGGTCTGAAGACGACGATGAGCCTTGGACCGAGGAGGACGAGCGTCGCTTCGGAGATGAGCTCCTGAACAATCAGCTCGAGAAGGTCGCCCGCTTCCAGGAGGAGACATTCAACTCGCTGCGCGAACGTGTTGATGCCGCACTCGAAACGCTGAAGGATCTCGGCTCCCAGGAAGACGAGTCATCGGCAGACACCGCCAACGACAAGGGAAAGGGCAAAGAAGAGGATGTCAAACCCGGAGAGGACGCGTCGCTGCCCCGACCCCGAGGCGACATCCCGGCAGAGCGACTGCGCCGGCTCGAGGCCGAGCTGGACCAGATCACTAACGAGGTGAAGGAGCTCAAGACTTACAGCACCATCAATTACACGGGCTTCCTCAAGATCGTCAAGAAGCATGATCGCAAGCGTGGCGAGCGCTACAAGATCCGGCCCATAATGCAGGCCCGCCTAGCCCAACGACCCTTTAACTCGGAGCAGGGCTACACCCCGCTCTTGCGCAAGCTCTCACTCATGTACTTTGCCATCCGCCAGCACCTTGAGGATGGCGACGCTGCCACCGCCAACCCAGCCGACGTCGGTAGCGCCTCGCAGGCCGAGACGCACAACGGCGAGAAGTACACGGCGCACAAGTTCTGGGTCCACCCCGACAACTTGCTCGAGGTTAAGACCTACATCCTCCGCCGCCTCCCCGCCCTCGTTTACAGCCAGCAATCGGCAAAAGAGGTCGACGGCTTCGACGACCCGCGTCTGTCGTCGCTCTATTTTGACAACTCCAAGTTCGACCTCTTCAACAAAAAGCTGGACCAGCATGGCCAAGCTGCATCCCTACGCCTTCGCTGGTTCGGCCAGCTCACCTCGAGGCCTGATATCTTCCTCGAGCAGAAGATGGTGGGCGCCAACGGCACCAGCGAGGAGAGGAAATTTGTCATTAAGGAGAAGTACATCAAGGCATTCTTGGACGGCGACTATGCCATGGAGAAGAGCGTGGAGAAGATGGAGCGCCAAGGCCGGCCAGCTGAGGAGATCGAGGAGTTCAAGCTGGCCGTTGGTTCGATCCGGGAATTCGTGGCCAAGGAAAAGCTGCAGCCACTTCTGAGAGCCAATTATGTGCGCACCGCGTTCCAGAAGCCCGCCGACGACCGCGTGCGCATCTCGATCGACACGGAGCTCGTATTCATCCGTGAGGACGTGCTGGACCCGCGCCATCCCTGCCGCGACCCGGACGACTGGCACCGCCGCGATATTGACAATCGCAACCTGACCTACCCATTTCGCGACGTGAACCCGAGCGAGATCTCTCGCTTCCCACACGCGGTGCTTGAGATCAAGTTGCGTGAGATGGCGGGCGGAAAGTCGAAGCCTGCCTGGGTCGAGGACTTGATGGCATCGCATCTCGTGCATCCTGTCCCCCGTTTCTCCAAGTTTGCACACGGAGTGGCCAGCCTGTTCGATGATTACGTCAACGCCCTGCCTTTCTGGCTGAGCGACCTCGAGGGCGACATCCGCAAGGACCCCCAAACGGCCTTCCTGGCCGAGGAGCAGCGCCGGGCCGAACGTGCCGAGGACGAGATGGTTGTGGGTAGTTTCTTGGGTGCCTCGGGCCGCATGGGGTCATTCAAGCCGGCTGTGGCTAGGAGCTCACCACTGGGCAAGTCGCTGCTGGCCGAGCGTGTTGCGGCCGAGGGGAGCAGATCGGCAGGCAATCTGTCTTCTTCGCTGCCTGGTGGCGTCGGGGCTCGGCGAGGGTCAGGTGCTGAGGATGACGATGCTACAGCCGTCGACGAGCAGCACCAGGGCCCGAGCGGCCAACAGCACAGGGGCTACGGCACGCTATCGTCGGTTCTTCCGGCCTTCTCTACTAGTCGGCTCGCACGAGCCAAACGAGATCGTGAGGCGGCGGCCCAGCTGCCCGAGGGTGTGGTGGAGCCGGTCGAGTGGCTCAAGAACTCGGGACCGCTCCGGATCGAGCCCAAAGTGTGGCTAGCTAACGAGCGCACGTTCCTCAAGTGGCAGCACATCTCGGTTCTGTTGGGCACGCTGGCTGTCGCACTCTACACGGCTGCGGCCTCGTCGGCTAAGGGGCCGTCGCGCATCGCCGAGTGGATGGGAGGTGCCTACCTGGCGGTGGCAGCGCTCGCTGGGGCGTGGGGCTACTACACTCTGCGCAAAAGACGGGCCATGATCGTCGCGCGCAGCGGTAAGGACTTTGACGACATGGCGGGCCCCTTGGTAGTCAGCGTCGCGTTGATGCTGGCGCTGATTCTCAACTTTTTCTTTTCGGTAAGCTTCTTTTCCCTCTATGCTCGGCTTCCTTGTCACATCGAAGAAGCTAACCACATGTTGCTCCAACCCCGCAGTACCAAGCTGCCCTTGAGAGATGGGACCGGGCCGCCAAGGCGCCCGGGACTGGTGTCAACGTTACCGCCGAGCCTGGTGAGCTTCGCATCTGACGTGGACGCATACTACGAAATGGGTTGACTACGGGCTTGTGTGGACCTGGACGAGTACGAAAGTGTAGGATTCGTTCGAAGACATGCCCAGTAACGCCTATTCTGTACAGATACAAAACCTAAAGCTCTTCTCCTGTATCACATTTCCTTTTGTTTCACTCGAGTTTACTTAGCATCCCGATTTGTTGACGCAGTACTTTTTGGTGTGAAATGCGTACTGTCCGTGCGTCTTTGATGAAGCACGGCACTTAGGTTCGGGAAAACCCTAGATCGGCACGGGGGTGTGGAACGAAGGAGGGGTACAATTCTCGATGCTCAGCAAATCTCGGAACCAAGAGTCTCAACAGCAAAAGCGTCCCGATGCCCATTTCCATACGGAAATTCCAACGAAGCATAGCGATCCACAAACCCCCCATGCCGGCTATCTAGAGGGCCGTTGCATTCGATGCTACCCCGGCCCCGCACAAACGTGGCAGAGAGTCCCAGGACACTGCTGATGGGCGGATGTGGCGGTTTGTGAGCTTGCCGGCTACCAGGCTACGACCTGTGCCATTTTCCTCCAATTAGACGGGTCATCCTACTTTTCTTCATTCTCTCAGGACCTCTCCCCCACACCTTGGCTCGCCTGTGCCTGCCACAACCGTGACCTTCGCAAGGAGCTCCTCCGAATGGTGCGGATCGTGTCGGCCATGGGTCGATTTGCCGCTCGGGGCCATGCCTGCCCTGTCGGCCTTTGTTTGCGGACCGAGGGGATTGCGCCGGATGTGCTTATAATGCCGGCCGTTTCCCTGATGGGCTCGCCGAAGAAAAGGCTTAGGCGCCATAACATAGGCCTCCTCGGTGCCGCCCTCTTGTCAAACCATGTACTTCGCACCCATCATCTCGCTTGCCGCGGCGATGCTGAGCACCGCGGTGCAGGCCTACGCCAACCCGGGCGCCTGCTCGGGCGAGTGCTGGAGCCACGACCCTTCGGTGGTGCGGCGCGACGACGGCACCTTCTTCCGGTTCGAGACGGGTAGCAAGATCAGGATCTGGAAAGCGCCCGACCTGACGGGACCCTGGACGTTCCAGGGCGCCGCACTGCCGCGGGGCAGCAGTATCAACCTGCCAGGAAACCAGGACTTGTGGGTATGTTGCTGGAGCATGAGTCCACCTGCTTCTGCTGCTTGAACGATCCACTAAGGACAACAATAAAATAAAAAAACAGGCACCTGATGTAAACAAGGTCGGAAGCCAGTACATCATGTACTACAGCGTCTCCACCTTTGGCAACCAGAACTCCGCCATCGGCTACGCCACGTCCCCCACCATGGAGGCCGGGTCCTGGACCGACCGCGGCGCCACTGGCGTCGCCTCCCGGGCCGGGTCGCGCTACAACGCCATCGACGCCAACCTCGTGCGCGCCGGCAATGGTTGGTTCCTCAGCTTCGGCTCCTTCTGGGAGAATATTTTCCAGGTGCCCATGAACAGCGCTGCCACCCAGGCCGCCGGGAACCCGTACAGCATCATATTCAACAACACGCGGCCGCAACCGGTCGAGGGTGCATACATCTTGGAGCGCAGCGGCATGTTCTGGGCCTTTTTCAGCTCCGGGTCCTGCTGCGGCCTGGACAAGAACAGGCCGCGCCAGGGCGAGGAGTACAAAATCTTTGTGTGCCGCTCCTCGGCCGTCGGCGGGCCATACACGGACCGCGGTGGCAGGAGCTGCACTAGTGGCGGCGGCACGCTGCTGCTATCGAGCCACAATAAGGTCTACGCCCCTGGCGGCCAGGGCGTCATGGTTGATCCGCGCCGTGGGACCATCCTCTACTACCACTACAGTAAGTCCCTGTTTATGGCCTAGTGCATCTTTTGGTATCTTCGCTCTAACCGTTGGCATGAATAGTGAACACCGACATTGGCTATGCAGATTCTCAGACGCGGTTTGGCTGGAATGTCATCGGATGGTCTGGTGGTTGGCCAAGTGTATAAGTCCGGTTCCAACACGCATAGAGATGGGGAGTGGGAAGATGACTACCCATGCCTGAAGTTGTAGATATTCGAGCCAAGGAGTGTACATATGGCGGGGTGGCGGGATATGGGTTTATGCTCTTAGGGATTTGTAAAAAAGTGAAGGCTTTCAAACCTCGTACCCACAAAACATAACCGATGATAGACTCGCTTCTATGGCGCTTATGGCACGCCAAGCCATTCTGACTTCCAGCTATAGACGCGATCCGCCAAAGGCAGGTGAAAGTAGGTCGGATTGGCTCCAATTGCCGGTCCATGTGTTAAAGAGCCATTTCAAATCGGTTTGGGATCTCGACTGCCTCTTCCTCCCAGAGGGCCAACAGCAACGAGTTCATGTGACGAGTATGAAGATTGCGCTCGCCTCTTTCGCTTGTACAGCCACCTGGCCGACAGCGGCCTGGAGGGCAAATACGCGCAAACGTCATGGCCTGGAAACCTGGCTCCGGTACAAGAAGCACCGGGTAGCACCCCTACCTGCCTGTCTAGGTCCGGCCTTCGCCCTTATCCGGACGTGCCTGCCGCTGCCTCTGCATGCATATCCTGCAGGATATCGATGGGGCTGTGCAGAGATGTTTCCACCGTGGTCTAGATGCCCGTCTCTGCCCTTCTATCATTCTAAAAGCACGCCAAGATAGCAAGCTCTTATTACCCCGCATTACCAGTAAGCACACACATACCAGAGTTTACCCCACACACCCGTCATCTGAGCCACCGATTCGCCTCCGAGAAGCACACACCTTCCTCATACTAAAGTATCTTGATTCATTCTTCTATCAAAAACCTATCACATGAATCAATAGATCGATGGCTAGTGTACAAGCTTCCCCGGGACCGCCTCCTGCGAGGCCGCCCACCCCCTCCGTTCCGGATGGATGGAAGGTTTGGTGGGCTCAAGAGAGTCAGAAATGGTGCGCACTATGTCAAATAACTATACGAAACCTCGTTTATGATTGCGCGCGACCACGAACGGCAGCAACGCGCGACCACGAACGGCAGCAACGCAGCTAATACGCCGCTACAAATAGGTATTACCACGAGCTGGCAACAGGCAACACACAATGGGATCCCCCCGGCAGCGTTCCGCCTCCTCCGCCTCCCCCGGCACCCCAGGCCGCCGAGGCGCCGTCGTCCTCGACAGCTGCCGCACCCACGGGCGACGTGAAGAGGAACCCATTTGAGGACGCAACAGCGAGCCCCAACCCCGGCGACGCATCGTCATCATCCCCCTCGCCGCCGCCCATCAGCCATATGTGGGAAACGGGAGAGTTCTTTTTCGAGTTTACCGACGAGGCCATCGAATACTTACGCGAGATCGAGAGCGAAGCGTATTGCGCCTCTTGCCTGGCTGTTTTCCACAACGGCATCGTGATTCCTCACGCCGACGATGCGATTCCTTGCCCTGGTCGTTCCTGCTTGATCCAGGTAGCACATCATTGGACTCCCAAGAGCGTAACGGACGCTCTTGAAATGGGCTGCATTCTTTGCTCGGAGAATCTCGCCGACATCCCTGCATTACAAGAGGCGGAGAGGAAATGCGACGAGTATGGGCCTGGGAAAAAACCAGTTACGGTATTCAGGTTTTTCGGCAATGAAGCGAATTCAGGCGCTACAGGCCTCCAGATCAAATACTACTCCGACGAGACTCCAGCGATGCCCGACGCCTGGTCGTCCTATCTCGGAAAATCCCGTTACCGAGTTACTAGGGGTATGACACCGCGTACTGGAACGCCTTGGGGTTGAAAAAGCTAACTTGTCGTCTAGTGAATTCAAGTGCTGCTGGAGTTTGGACGATCCCTCGTGCGGACGACTTTCTTGACCGGGTGCTTGAGTGGGCAAATACTTGCCGAGACACACACCAAGGCTGTGGGGTCTATCGGGGGCTGATGCAGCGAATAATCCCGCAGCACATCCTAGAAATCGGGGAATCCCATTTGGTCCTCCGCTCCCTAGAACTTGGCTGGGACGAGACCTACATCACCCTCAGCCATCGCTGGTCGATCCCTGGAAGGCCGGACCCCCCCAAGCTTTGTCGTGCCAACGAGGCAGAGATGCGGTCGCTCGGAATCCCGTTCAGCTCGCTGCCTCCCGCATTCCGAGATGCCGCCATCCTTGCTCGCCACCTGGGTGTGAGGTATCTCTGGATCGATTCCTTGTGCATCTTTCAAGACGATGCGGCTGACTGGGAGAGCCAAGTCCCCTATATGGGAAACATTTACGGCGGCGGCCTCGTCAACATTGCAATTGTGGATGAGGAGTCTTACCGGGAGGGATGGGTTCGGCGGGGGCCATGTGAAGTGCCCATCATGTCAGCACCCAGCAACCCGGCCCTCCAGAGCTTGCGGACAGAATGGGGGCCTAGCGTCGAGTCCATGCCAATCCTCCTACACGACTGCATGATTTTCAAGGAAACCATCTCTCAGTCTATGCTGCTTGCCCGCGGTTGGGTACACCAGGAGGTGTTGACGGCACCTGCGACCCTTTATCTTACTCGACAAGAGGCTTGGTGGGTCTGCAATGGGTTGTTCAGCAGCGAAGTCTATCCGCGTGGCGCGCCTCACTTCATTGAAAGTTTCGGCATCGGTAATATACGTCGCTTATTTTTATACTATCCATTCGAAACCGCTGAGGCTGCAGTGCAGCTGTGCCACGCAGCCTGGGACAGCTGGGTTTGCTTGATCACTGCATTCTCCAGGGCCGAGTTCACTTACGAGTCGGATCGGGTCAAAGCTCTCTTCGGTGTGATCCTCGAACTGAGCTATTTCTTGGGCCACCCCTTCGCCGGGCACTGGTATCCAGTATTCCCGAACAACGACATGGACTTCGTACCACAGCTCCTATGGAGATGTGCGCCTGGCAGCAATCCTCGACTGCGGAATTCCACAGAGGGGAGTCTCGGAGACAACACTGGGCTGGAATCCGGGGGGCCTGTCATTCCGACATGGTCATGGCTTAGCTGCCCAAGCATGATTGTCTATTTTGGCCTGATGCCCGGAATCACGCACTTCGTTCGACTAATCACTGAGCCAGACTTGGGGGAGCTGGACTGGTTCGCATGGCCACGGACGCGAATGGCATCAGCACTGCATCTTGGCGTTGTTTTGGTTCCTCTGGCACCCAACCCCCTCTTCACACCTCTATTAGAAGTCATTTCTGGCCCTCTGGTATCTACCAATGGCGAAAGGGCTGCACCCGCCGTTTCGATCGCGGTCGACCGCGCTGAGTACGTCGAGGAGATGAGAACGCAGTCTGAAACCTCCAACGGAAGCATGGATGGCTATTTTTTCATCCCCTTCTCTCATCGCAGGTCGCTAGCGATCTATGGGCTAGCAGTCAGGGAGCAGAAGGAGCGTTCAGAAGATCAGCATGACCGTCGCTTCTTCCAGAGGGTTGGGAACTTCATCGTAGACGCAAAATTTACGGAAGCACACGCGTTCAACGTTGAATACTCGGAGGAAGCCTGGAGCTATGTGTTTGACGACTGGAGTCTAGGAAGGCTCGGGAGGAAGGTTGTTCGCGATCTCGATTTGTGTAATGATTGGATGATGGCCGAGGAGGAACCTAACCTTGACGAGATTTACCTGGTGTGAATGTAGCGTCTTTTATGGGAAGCCTAGCCAGAATATATGCGTGTTTACCCCTTTCAACTTTTATTGCTCTCGGAAATCTTTCTCGTACTTTCTCTTTCATTTGGTCTCGAAACTGTGGATGGCAGCAGACTATCATAATGTGAAGCAATGGTAGTAGCTTCGCCAACGGAGCCTTGGAATGCCGTTCGATCTTCGCACATCAAACGCGGTTTGGACGAGTCTTCCATCCTTCAAGATTTGCGAAATCAAGGCAGTCTTCGACATTGACGGCTGCAAGCCGTCGCCGTACTAACTAACAGCTGGCACCTCCAGCCATTCGGTGCTCACCCGTTCCGATGGCGCTCGGGTTCGACCTGAGCAAGCGGTCCGTGGAAGATGGTCCCATAATTGCCAACTTTGTATTTGACAAACCCCTGAACTTGACGACATCTGCATACCAGAAGGCCAAGCCAAACTACTTGGACGAGAAAGGAGCATACATTGTTGGCTTTTCGCTTCCCAAAGTAAAGCCTGTAGTCGCGAGTAATCGTAATACGGCCGCTGCCCGAACTGGCCAGGATAGGTATCCAATGTGATAAACATGGCACGATCTATGCCTGATAATTCAGTTGGTTGTAATTCTTTTATTCTGACTGCCTAACCATGGCCACTTTGGTATCATCAAATTTGAAGCGATAAACCCGAGACGAAAAAAAAACATATCAGTGAGTAACGAAAAACTGTTCATGAAGGCTTCACCAAAACGGCCACACTTGCGCCAGCCACATCCGAGAGAATAATGACAAGAAAAAAGTAAAACTCGCTCTCCCTAAGCGGAAACAGGAGGGACAATGCTGAAGATCTCCTGAGCCGTGCGCTTGACGATGCCGCCGGTCACGGGGAGACTGGTGCACTTCTCCAGGTATAGGTCGACCTCGCGGGCTGCCTGCCTGCCTTCGTTGATGCCCCTAAGATTTCACCAACGTCAGCATTTATCTTCAGCAGCCGTCAAACAGAAACCAGTCAAAACTTACCAGACAATCAGAGACTGGCCGCGACGGCAGTCCCCGGCGGCAAACACACCCTCGGCGTTGGTGCAGTACTTGCCCGGCGGGGTTTTGACGTTCTTGCGGGCGTCCTTCTCGATATCGTCGCCAAGTACGCGCGCCTCGGGGCCCAGGAAACCCATCGACAGCAGCACAAGGTCGGCGGGGAAGAACTGCTGCGAGCCCTCAACCTTCTTCATGTCCCAACCGCCTGAGGCCGACTTGGTCCACTCGACCCGGACAGTGTTGATTCCCTTAACCTTGCCTCCGCCATCATCGACAAACTCCTCCGACATGATGCAGAACTCGCGCGGGTCCTTGCCCTGGTGCTGCCGCACCTCTGAGTGGCCGTAGTCCACGCGGTAGATGCGCGGCCACTGCGGCCATGGGTTGTCGTTGGCACGTTCCGGTGGCGGTTGGGGCAGCAGCTCAAAGTTGATAACCGACTTGGCCCCGTGACGCACAGACGTTCCGATACAGTCATTGCCAGTGTCGCCGCCACCAATGACCACGACGTCCTTGTCCTTGGCCGAGAGGTACGCATTGTCCGCCAGCTCGGAGTCGAGGAGCGACTTGGTGTTCTTATGCAAGAACTCCATGGCGAAATGAACACCATCGAGGTTGCGACCCTTGATCGGCAGGTCACGCGCAACCGTGGCACCGGTGCAGATGATGACGGCGTTGTTCATCGACCGGAGCACCCTGAGAGCCACATCCTTGCCGACATCCACACCCGTCTTGAATATGATACCCTCGGCCTCCATGAAGTCTGTGCGCCGCTTGACGATGCGCTTGTCCAGCTTCATGTTGGGGATACCATACATGAGCAGGCCACCAAGGCGATCCGCGCGCTCATAGACCGTGACAAGGTGTCCGGCCTTGTTGAGCTGATCGGCAGCGGCCAAACCGGCGGGACCGGAGCCAATGATGGCCACCTTCTTGCCAGTGCGGACCTTGGGCGGCTGGGGAACCATCCAGCCCTTTTCGAACCCACGGTCGATGATGGCGCACTCGATCGACTTGATGCCAACGGGCTCCTCATTGATGCCGAGAACGCAGGCACCTTCACAGGGGGCCGGACAAACGCGTCCCGTGAACTCGGGGAAGTTGTTTGTCAACAGGAGTCGATTGAGAGCGTCCCGCCATTGGTTACTAAATGTTCGTGATGAGCCAAGTTAGAAAAGCCGATGGTCAAACCAGGAAGAGGAGAAAGAGTAAAAATAGAAAAAGAGAATAGTGAAGCTTACCGGAAAACCAATTCGTTCCACTTCGGGATGACGTTGGAGATGGGGCAGCCCGTGTCGGACTGGCAGAAGGGCACACCGCAGTCCATGCAGCGCGCCGTCTGGTACTTGAGCTCGTCCTCGTCCAGGCGGTTCGAGATCTCGGCCCAGTCCTTCGTCCGCGTCTTGGCGCTGCGGTACTTCTCGTTGCGTCGGCCATACTTCATGAAACCCTTGGTCTTGTCCAGCACGAGGGCCTTCTTCTTGTCGACGGCCGCGTCATTGACCGTCTCCTCAATGTCCTGCAGCTTGGCCGGCTTCTCGTGCTTGTCCTTGTTGGCCACGCCCGAGACGACGGGCAGGCTGTACTCGGCGCGCTTGGCCTCGACTGCCTTGGCCGCCTCCTCCTGGAGCACGCGCTTGTAATCGACCGGGAGAACCTTGATGAAGCGGGGCAGGGCGCGGTTGAAGTCCACGAGGATGCGAGCCGCCAGCTCCGAGCCGGTGTAGTGATGGTGATCCTCAATAAGGCCACGCACATACGCGATCTCCTCGGGGTCCTCAAGACCCGAGGCCTCAACCATCTCCATGTTGAGCTTGGACATGAAGTCGTGGTGAATGTCGAGCACGTACGCGATGCCACCAGACATGCCGGCCGCGAAGTTGCGGCCAGTGCTGCCCAGAACCACCACGCGGCCGCCAGTCATGTACTCGCAGCCGTGGTCACCGACGCCCTCAACAATGGCCGTGGCTCCCGAGTTACGCACAGCAAAACGCTCGGCCGCAACACCACGGAAGTAGCAGGTACCGCTCGTGGCTCCGTACAGGCAAGTGTTGCCGATGATGACGTTCTCCTCGGCCTTGAAGACAGCAGAGCGGGGCGGGTAGATGATGAGCCTACCACCAGACAGGCCCTTGCCTACGTAGTCGTTGGAGTCACCCTCTAGCTCGAGAGTCACGCCGGGCGCCAGGAAGGCACCGAACGACTGGCCAGCCGAGCCCTTGATGTTGACGTGGACAGTGTCCATAGGCAAGCCAGCCTCGCCGTAGCGCTTGGAGATGTGGTAAGACAGCGATGTGCCCATTGCGCGATCAGTGTTGACCACGTCACACTCAATGCGAGACGGCAGGCCCTTGTCAAGGGTAAGCTCGGACTCGGAGATGAGCTTGTTGTCGAGGCGGACGTAGAGCCTGTGGTCCTGCTTGCGGACGTTGAATGTGGCAACGCCAGGCCGCAGCTTATGCGCCGGCGTCAAGATCAGGGAGAGATCGATGTTCTCCGTCTTGTTCGTGCGCAGGTCATCCCGGACCCTGAGCATCTCGGCATGACCGACCATCTCGTTGATAGTACGGAAGCCGAGCTTGGCCATGATGGCACGCAGCTCATTGGCGATGTAATAGAAGAAGTTGATGACATGCTCGGGCGTGCCCTTGAACTTCTTCCGCAGCTCAGGATCCTGCGTGGCAATGCCCACTGGGCAGGTGTTGAGGTGGCACTTTCGCATGAATATGCAGCCCATGGCGATTAGTGGGGTGGTAGCAAACCCCCACTCCTCGGCACCTAGCAGACAGGCGACGGCAACATCACGTCCGGTGCGGAGCTGGCCGTCCGTCTGCACAACGACGCGGCCACGGAGGTCGTTGAGTACCAGCGTCTGATGCGTCTCGGCGAGGCCAAGCTCCCAGGGGAGGCCGGCGTATTTGATACCTGTCCAGCGCGAAGCTCCCGTGCCGCCATCGTGGCCAGAGATCAGAATGTGGTCAGCCTTGGCCTTGGCCACGCCCGAAGCAACGATACCGACGCCCGTCTCCGACACGAGCTTGACCGAGACGCGCGAGCGCGGGCTGGAGCACTTCAGGTCGTAGATCAGCTGCTTCAGGTCCTCGATCGAGTAGATGTCGTGATGCGGCGGGGGCGAGATCAGTCCAACACCAGGGGTCGAGTGCCGCGTCCGGGCAATCGATTTGGACACCTTGTGGCCGGGGAGCTCGCCACCCTCGCCAGGCTTGGCGCCCTGGGCCATCTTGATCTGGAGCTCGTCAGAGTCGGCGAGGTACGCAGAGGTGACACCGAAGCGTCCAGAGGCCACCTGCTTGATGGCGGATCGCATGGTGTCGCCATTGGACATGACTTGGGACCTCTCAGGGTCCTCACCACCCTCACCCGTGTTGGACTTGCCGCCAAGACGGTTCATGGCCACGGCCAGGGTCGAGTGTGACTCCATAGAGATAGAGCCGTACGACATGGCACCGGTGCAGAAGCGGCGAACGATCTCAGTCCAGGGCTCGACCTGGTCGATAGGCACCGGGGTGCACTCCTCGAACTTGAAGTCAAGCATCCCGCGGAGCGTGCAGGCTTTGATCTGCTCGTACTCTGTCCTCGAGTATGCCTCGTACGATTTGTCGTTCTTGTTGCGAACCGCATCCTGAATGTTTGCAATGGCCGTAGGGTCGTTGATGTGAGGCTCGCCACCGTCACGCCAGTGGTATTCGCCGGACTCTGTGAGGCCGGGGACACCAACAGTGTAGCGTGATGGGAAACCACGCTCGTGGAAGCGGAAAGCGTCCTGGGCGATGATCTCAAAGGTCACACCCTTGATACGCGAGGCGGTTCCCTTGAAGCAACGCTCAACCACAGTGTCGTCGACACCGAGAGCCTCGAAGATCTGAGCGCCCTTGTAGCTGGCCAGCGTAGAGATACCCATCTTGCTCATGACCTTGAGAATGCCACCGTCGCACGAGTGCTTGTAGTTGTGGATGAGCATCTCGTCGGTGATCTTCTTCTTGATGAGCTTCTCGCGGTTGAGCTTCAGGATGCATTCCATGGCCAGGTAGGGGTTGATGGCGTCGGCGCCATAACCCAGGAGGACACACATGTGGTGAACCTCACGCGCCTCTGCCGTCTCGACAACAATGGCAGCCATGGACCGCCACTTGTTGCTGACGAGGTGATGGTGAACCATGCCCGAGGCCAGGAGGGCCGAAACAGGCACGCGATCGGCCGAGGTGTTGCGGTCCGAGAGCACAATTATGCGATCCCTGTTCTCAATGGCGGATGTGGTCTCGTTGCAAATGTAGTCGAGGTGCTTCAGATAGCCATCAACACCCTGCTTCTTGGGGAAGGTGATGTCGATGATCTTGACAGTCCACTCTGGCCGAAGCTTGGTCATGTTCTTGATGGAGTTGAACTCGGGGATAGAAAGGATGGGGCTAGGGAGCAGCAGGCGACCGCACTGAGACGAGTCCATCTCGAGCAGGTTGCCCTGAGGGCCAACGTAGCACTCCAGGGACATGACAATAGACTCGCGAATGGGGTCGATGGGCGGGTTGGTGACCTGAGCGAAGAGCTGCCTGAAGTACTCGTAGAGCAGACGAGGCGCCTGGGACAAGCAAGCCAGTGGGGAGTCGTTGCCCATGGAGCCGAGAGCCTCTTTCTCATCCTGGGCCATCGGGGCAAGCAGCAAGCTGACCTGCTCGAAAGTGTAGCCAAATGCGTGCAGCAGCTTGTCTTCCTGGATCGAGACAGCGTCAGGCTTGGCCTCCAGCCCGATGGACTTGTCCTGCGTGAGCGTCTCCAGCACGTTCGGCAGCGTAACAAGCTCCTTGTCCAGCCACGCGCGGAAGTCCTGGCGGTTCGCAACCTTGGCTTTGAGCTCGCTATCATCAATGATGCGTCCGGCAACGGTGTCGACGAGAAGCATGCGGCCGGGCTGCAGACGGCCCTTCTGGATGACGCTCTCGGGCTCGATGGGCATTGTGCCGACCTCGGATGCGCAGATGATGCGATCATCGTCCATGACGTAGAAGCGGCAGGGCCTCAGACCGTTACGGTCGAGATTGGCGCCGCAGAAACGGCCGTCAGAAAATGTGAACAGGGCCGGGCCGTCCCAAGGCTCCATCTGGCACGCCGCCCACTCGTAGAACGCCGCTTTCTTGGGGTCCATCTGGTTGTTGCCCTGCCAGGCCTCTGGGACCATAAGCATGACAGCCTCGGGGAGAGACAGGACTCCGTTGATGGTTAGAAGCTCGAGCACGTTGTCGAACGCGGCCGAGTCGGAACCACCGTCCTCAACGACGGGGTAAAGCTGCTCGAGCTCATCACCAAAAATTTCGGACTGCATGACTCCCTCGCGGGCGCGCATCCAGTTCTTATTGCCACGGAGGGTGTTGATTTCACCTGGATGTATACACCACGCACATTAGACATTGAGAATCCCACAAACTTACTTGCGGCGTCCGCAGCCCCCATTCGACAAGGGTGAAACAGGGCGTCAGCGAGCCCTAGCTGCTGGGGCAGCGGCGACATACCGTTGTGAGCAGCCCAGCGAAGCGGCTGAGCACGATCCCAGGAGGGGAAAGTGTTGGTTGAGAAGCGCGAGTGCACGAGAGCAAAGTGCGCCTCGTAGTCCGCATTGACCAAATCATGATAATACTGGTAGACCTGGACAGGAGCTAGCTGGCCCTTGTAGACAATGTTCTTGTTCGACAAGGAGCAGATGTAGAACCAATTGTGGAGGCCGACGGTGTGCGTAGCCCGCTTCCGCAGGATGTACAGCTGCCTCTCAAACAGCCTCTCGTCGAACTCTTGGGGGTCAGTCATCTCAGGGGCATTTCCGGGACCATAAGCCGACGCAAGCACCACGAAAGGTTGCATAATAATGGGCTCCCTCGACTTTGCGGCGGGTCCAAGGAGGCTCGAGTCCACGGGAAGCTCTCGCCATCCCAGGACCCGAAGGCCAAGTGTCTCGGCAATTTCTTCCAACTGCCTCTTGGACTCCTGCAGAGTCTCCTCGTCAGGCTTAAAGAACAAGTTTCCAACAGCGTACTGTCCCAGAGGGGGCAGCTTGATATCCACCTCGCGCTCAAAGTTCTTGAGGAAGAACTTGTGCGGAATCGAGGTCATGACACCAGCGCCATCGCCATCTCGAGCATCAGACCCAACGGCACCCCGATGGGTCATGTTGCACAGCAGGTTGCGTGCTAAGATAAGATGAACAGTGAGCAGCCAGGATGACACCTACACCAGTGGGCAGCGGCTCAAGGGTAAAGACTCACCATCGCTAACGATTTTGTGGCTCGGCTTGCCCTTGATGTGGCTGTGTTGCGGGGTTAGTACGAGACCGGGAGGTTGGAGGAGAGACACGAAGCCGCCTCGTTCGCGATCTTACCAAGCAAAGCCAACACCGCATGCATCCTTCTCGAGATCCGGATCGTACAAGCCCCTGTGAGAAATCGAGTCAGCGGCCCTATTTCTCATCTGAACGCGAACTCGGACATAGCGCAGAGATCATATCAAGTCGGGGAACGGGGAAGCAAGGTGCAGTCACGTACTGCTTCACCGGAAGGGCACCCGCCCAGGAGGAGTTGTTCTCCGACTGGTATTCATAGGGATGGTACTCCGTGGACTCAGCCTCGATGTGTGTTTGTCGGTCGTCGAATTCCGCCGTCAGGCCCATGCTAGGCGAGCTGTCGCGAGTCTGGAGGAAGGCGGCGATCGTGGGCACAGGTCTGAGATCGGGGGCTGGAGATTATATATAGCGTGTGCTGTACGGATAGACAGCGACGTGGTCGCTTCTAGGGAGGGTTTGTTAGTGACCATGGAATGCTTGCTGCTTATGGGAGATAATCGGCCAGGCCACGGCGACGAAAGGAGAGTGTGTAGCGCGAAGAAAAAGAACGCGGAATGCTAATGAAATAGCAGCCGGCGGGGACGTGATCGAAGATGTGTAACAGATGTGGGGTGAGGAAGACTAGCTTCGGCAGCGATAGCCGCGGCAAAGAAGCTGTTGAGGCGGGCTGCGTGTGTGGAGGGAGTGTGTCAAGCAAGCAGGCTGAGGATGCGCCCTGGCCGATCCTCCACCGTCCGATCCGCACCAGGTCACAGGCCAAGGAGTCCCCAGGTCCAAAAACCAGGGATGACCTTGACACGGCAGACAATCCGTGAGGAAGGGTCAACCAGCTGGTGTGTCTCTGGGGGTGTGCAGCTTGGCGTGGCAGACAGCCAACACACTCGCAGAATACAGTAGCGGCGTGGCTCGTTTGCCTAGCCGAGTATCCGCAGAAAAGCTCGTGGATCTGACGAGTGGCGGGCAGTGACACAGCCGAGATAGCCAAAAGAGCGGACCGGAAGGAGTCGAAGAGATGGCCAACGGATTGTACACCAACGGCCAGTTATAGCCCCATGGAGAGTCGGGAGGCGCCGGCGACGCAGCAGCGATATGCAGCATGCCGCGACAAGATAGGGGCCAGCCAATTGTGCTGCGATGATCAACTCCCGCTGTCCGCCCTCTCTCCGCTTGCAGGATCAACCTCTGCCGGGTCCGTTGCTAAGCCGAGGCACCCTCACACCTTCACGCACATAACTTCAAGCCCTCTTGGCGAACGAAAAAAAAGGGCTGGAGTGCTGCGCGTGGGACATGATACGACGGTCCAATGAGGACGATCCTCGATGCATTCGGATGCGGCTTGGATCTAGCGTCCTGATAGGGCGATAGTGAGGACTGGGGGCTCTATCTCGCAGCTGCATCAAGAAGCCCCCCTCCTTGTGTCGTGTCCACGCAGGCCGCTGGCCCAGAGCTCGGAGCTAGCGAAGCGAGTTGGTGTGGTGCGCTCGGCCGCTATGGGAGTGGGAGCCGCGGGTGGAGAGCGGGATGATGAGCCGGGGGCGATAGGCGGGCGGGGTAATGGGAGAGAGTTTTGGCATGGCCGCCTTGGTGGTTTGGACAAGGTTCCAGCCTACTACAACAGGCTTCTGTCGTTGGCCTGCTGCTCGCCGTGGGGTTTTCGGGCCAAGGGACTTGCACCATCCATCCTCGTGCTTGTCGGAGGTGTGCCCGCAGCCTGCGGCAACAGTCCCCTCATTTGATTTTCCCTCGTTGTTCGCCCTTTTTTGCCCCGGCCAGATTTGTGTGCCCCACGTCGCCGCGCCTCTAGTTTCCCTAGCTCGTGTCGCTTGCAGGGGGCTTCGGCGGCTGGGGACCGGGCTCGCAGGGATGGGTAGCGCCGTTGCCAGGGTTCGCCGCTGGCAAAAAGATGACGTCGCATTGGCGCGTTGTGCGCAGCCGCCAGGCTGGTGCTTGCTGGTCCAGGAGGTGGGCTGTCCCTCCACCAGAGCACATGAAAAAAAGGACAAGAGGCAAAACAAAACATGCTGCGGCGTGCCCGACGTCTCTTCCAAGCGTACACTTGCACCACACCAATCTTTAAAGGGCTAAGGCGTGTATTCGGAGCCGTCGACGATAGGGGCACAATGCTGGCCTCAGGGGTCGCGGGAACACAAACATCAGGTCCGGCTAGACTTGACTTACCTGCTTGGTCCCGTAGCAGTTATATCCGTGCTTCACCGTCGCCAACCGGCGGCTTGCAGGGTCGAGATGAGCGTGGGTTCTAGACTCGCTTCGGTCTTGAATAGGTGTCTCTGCTGTCTCCTGACGATATTGTCGCGAGCGATGGGTTCTTGATGGGACGGAGCCACGAGTCAAGGCGTCCGTTGTAGTTGAAGCAGCCGCAGGTGTGTGAAGGGTAGGAGGGAAAGGGAACGAGTGTGCTCCGGAGTGATGGAGGGGGGCAAGAGGGTTTATGAAAGACCGAGGTGGCCTGGCCAAGCTGCTCTACCTGGGCCAGTCTAGTCGGGCGGTTTTGGAAAGTCGCCCCGAGTCGGAGGGATGCCGGATGGAGAGCAGTGGAGCGCTGAGGTGAACGGGCCAAAAAGGAGCAGGGTCCAGGGATGGACGCGACGGGTGGGCCAGGGAATGGAAGGCAGCAAAATTTTTGGCCGGCCACGGAACCTCCAGGGCGCTGCATCCAGGCGAAGCTCATCTGGGAAGTGGGGTGCTGGTGGGGGCAGATCTCAGCAGCGGGCGGCTGGGCAATGGCGTGGGCAAACTGGGGGGGTGGTCCCACCACCATCAAACAGCAAACACCACGCCTCAGACCTCAGGCTTCGGCTAGCTGTGAAGGCCGTTCAGCTTCCGGCTTCGGGGCATTCCGAGCGACAAGACCCTAAGCTGCCGTTGATGTCGTTTATAGCCAGTAACTATCTACACCTTCCAAACTTCCCAGCTCCCCCATACAGTCTAGACTTACTAGCCAGACGCACCGCCAGTAATGGTTGGCGATGAAAAGCAGTTGTCGTACGGCTCTAGTTCATCCTCACACCACTTGGCCACAAACTCATGAGGACATGCTTCGATGATTCCATGTCGTTTCACGCAAGAGCATGCAGCAGTACACCGTAGACTGTCACAGCGCCGGGTGTCCTTCCCGCCCGGCTGGACTGTTCTTGCCGTTGTCGCCAGAGGACACCACATGCAATTGCACCTTTCCCGCTTGGTATACCTGTCAAACAGCCAGTCAGCTATCAAGAGAAAGTCGCCGTTGTAGCACGGATTTGGGCTTGTGACGCACACAGGATCCAGGCATGGCAGGTTCTGCATTGTTTGCGCAATTATGATTGGCGGTAGTCTTCCGGATCCAATGGCGTATTCTATGCTATAACGTTGACACATCCAAAAGCTCACCAGCTAGGACCGCGCGTGACTATAGGCCTTAGCTGGAAAGCGCAACCGCCAATCATTTCCTCTACACACTGACTTGCACCTAGAGTGCGGCCCTGCGGCATGCCAGATAGTAGATCGTGCGAGTCGGGTGTCGGCGGCAGAAATCGGACTGGATCTGGTGTCTCTCATTGCCGGTGCGGCGAGGTGTTGCGACCTCTCTCAAGCATGGCATTTCATAACCTCTGATCAGATTGGCTCTTCCCTGAAAGACCGCCAGGGTTGCGACTTTGCGCGCATGCAGATGGACTGCCAGCAACTCCCATGTCATGGTTCCAGTCCAATGGATGCTAGAAATGGCTGCCCGAAGACGCGAAGACGAGTATTCGTCTTGTAACAGAAATTCTCTGGGTGGTCGGCCGTCAATAAAGCCGCCGACGTGCACACACCCCACACCCGGCTGCAAGAGACGACATGGGGTCCCCCATGTCGGTGCCTTGCCCGCATGACAGGGGTATAATACCCCTGCTCGTTAGCCGGGGTGTGGTGGGTGTGTCGCGCGGGGTGAAGGGAAAAAAAAGTTGGCGGGATGTCAACTTCTGACGAGCACCAATCAGAAGCAGTCATTTGCAAAGCTCCAGCACATGAGCTCCGATGTCGCACTGCGGGTGATTGTTTTTGGAGATCGGGATGCCAAATGCCTGGGTGCTGAAAATGGTACCCCAATTCTGCTTTTAGCACATGCCCGCGGAATATTCCAGACATGCTGCAGAATTTATTTGCCTCTCATCGTATTCCGCTATTAACAACCTACTTTTGTTCACCCTCCTAAACGGCTGCTTCCAGGCTGGCGTCGCTGGCCCAGCGTTTTCCATGGGCCACCCACGAGTGACCCCCAAACTTCCAGCCCACCCAATGTCATGCCGAGCATCAGCGCAGCCATCCCACCTGCAACCGCAAGACAGGCTGCAGGCATAAAAAACCGAACCAAGCAAGGGCTAAATGCGCCCGACGCTGCATATCCCGCACCATCTCTCGGAACTCCACTGCGGTCTGACGGACGTTGTCCCCTTTTAGGGCATGTCAAGGCTGGCTGGATTTGGTCCGTGACCGCCCTGTGGGTTTGCTAACGGATTTGACATCAACTCCACAATTGCTAGGCAGACCAATCAGGTACCGCGCCGCAGACCTCAGCCCTTATCTTAACCTGGTGACTCAATACGTCGTCGAGGAAGGGAAAGCCAAAAAGCGCTCTCTTCCTCGGAAACCCCTCATCGAATGGAAAGAGGAAAAAAGATCTGCTCTACTTTTCATTAGCGTATCCTTGTTCCGCCCCTGTGAGGTGTGTGGCCGGCACACCCAGCAAAGCGGTTGGGCAGATCGGCCGGCTGCCCGCATGTCTCGACGATGGCGAGCATAATATGGGATTTTCGCGTTCGCCTACCGACGGGGAAGCGGGAGTCGTGCTCGCGTCACCGACTCCATCAATGACGCTTATGACGTCCGTCGTTGGTAGGGGAGCCTGCGAGAACACAGCAGCAAAGATTCAGATTGTGATCCGAAGTGCACGTGTGAACGCCAGGAGCCGCAGCCCACTGACTGAGACATCAAGCAAATTTACAAATCGAGAGAATAGGGTCTGAGGGGTGCCGAGGAGGATGCAGAGGACAAGGGTCCACAAACACATGTTTGCGACTGTCGAGATAAAAAACACGCCTCTCCCACGCAGACAAGCCCCCCATCCCCGTCCTTGATGGAAGGGGCAGACCCATCTATATGGGACTCATACGAGCACACACGCAATCATTAAAGCCGGGCGTCCAATCGCCGTCGAGGCAAATGCTCAAACTGGCATATCCCCAGTAGGTGGCAGGAGACGGCCGCCACTAAATAGTGCCAAGTTTTGTTGTGTCGCTTCGCTGTGCCCGCACCCACTCGGTACCCAGCGGGGCAGAAGTTCGGCCCAATGTGAGCCTCGCTTTTGGCGAAATCGGTCTTCCTGCCGTCTCCTCCATGGGCCGCAAGCAGACGTGGGAAGCCGCGGCGGCAGTGGTTTGCGTATATGGGGTGTCACTGTAACAGCGATTATCAAAGGAGGGTAGACTTGGTTGAAGAGAGCAGGTGAGCGGCGTGGCGGCTAGCCACATGCTGCCCAAAGGGCTTTCTGGACCACGATGGATTCTGCTTCGCAATGAGTCCTCCGCTATCCAAGTGGCTCCCCCCAAAAAGGGCAAAAGTTCACTTTTTTCTCTTTGACCACCCAACCCAGATCAGTACCACCGCTGAAACGATGTCAGCGTGATGGGGAGCCGCCATTTCGCCGAGCTAAGGTCCGAAAGGTGGATGAGGAGGCGCAATGAGGATGGGGGCGCTGGCGCGAACTCGGCCGTGCAATTCAACTTTTACGAAGGGTCCGACATTGTTGCGGTTGATGAGATGCAACGAAAACGATGTTCCGAAAACTCCCGACGCGGTGTTCAGGCTAGCAGCCCCCTGTCTGGTGGAGAGAACTTGGCACCCAACACCTGCCCGCAGCCGCCAGAAAATGAAAGAAAAAAGGCGCAGGCCCCCTCCTGCTTGCCACAGAAAAGTCATTGCCGCGCGTAATTGCGATGGGACGCGCCGCCTCCAGCCAACCTCCAACGTTTGAGTGGGAAGGGGTTCGGTGGGCACGAATCGTTGGCGTCAAATTTGAACAGAGCGCTTCATACGTCGTACAGACATGGCAGGAGAGCCCGACCATTGACGTATGTGGTAGTTGTTTGCTGACGCCGCACGAGGCTCTGCTGTTGTCATGCATCCCACCATTATTTTGCCGACTCAGCGAGGTCGGATCTTTTTGGCGTTGGAGGGCTGACACCCAGGGCGCCGGGTTCGGAGGCCTGTGTGTATGCGAGATAGATACCGGCCCTTCTAGCCCGCATCTGTATTTCCTGACATGGATGGGATCCTCCCAGTAGCCGGGCAGACCGGAAGGAAGAGGGCTGGGCCTGCCCAGGTCACGGGCGGGTGTCGGGAGTTCCTGCAGCGGCTCGGGCACCGCTCAGGGTGTGGAACACAAGCGCGCGGCTGCGCTTAGCTAGATTCATGACCCACCAAAACGCGCGCTTCTGAATCAGGAATGTGCGACTTGGGATCGAAATGCTCCACGTAAGAGTTCCGCCTCGCGCTTCATGATTAAGCCCCGCGGTAGACTTCAAGATTTGAACTAATCAAGCGTTCTTCGTAACATTCCAAGCACCGCTAGCCCGCGACCGAGCTTCTGGTTCGACAACTCAAGGGGGCAAATCAGTCCCCTTGCGCGGAGATGCGCGCGTGGGGTCCTGCGTGACCTTAGCAGCTTGTCACCATCGACCAGTGCGCGGCGAAGCGATCTTCACAATGTTTTCCATACTCCCCGACCTGACGCCGCATGACGTGCGTTGCTCCTCCTCCAATAGAACCTCGGCTCTCCTCACGCGAGACACGCAACGCTGACAAAACCCCCTCGAACTAAACCCCACAGTCCCACTCCCTCTGGTACACGTCCTCCCGCAGCCCGATCCCCCCGGCGTCCTTCGACCCCGCGAACCAGCACGGCAGCCTCCTCGTGGAGGGCGGCGACGGGGCGCAGCGGCACCAGCACCGGCGGCAGCATGGCGGGGCGTCGCAGGCCGTGCTGGAGCGTACGGTGCTGGCGCGCCTGCGCGCCGACGAGGCGTACCAGGAGCGGCGGCGGCTCAACGTCGGCAACTTTGGCGCGACGTGGCTCAAGCCCCCCGGCATCGCAAAGTCGCTCTTCCAGCTGCGCGAGGAGCGCCGCGAGCAGGAGGAGCACGCCGAGGCCGTCCGCCGCGAGCAGCTCGCCCAGCAGCTGGCCGAGGCCGAGGAGGGCGCCGCCGCAGCCGCCACGGCTGCCGCCGTGGCGGCGGCTGCTGCAGAGGAGGGGGGTGGTAGCGGCATGATCGGTGAGAACGGACAGACGATGTTGGGCCCCGGCGGGGAGGACGAGATGATGGGCGACGGGGACGACGATGCGCAGCCGGAGGAGCGGGACCTGGACGACGAGATCCCGGACGCGGACGAGGAGGGCTTCGGCTACGACGGGGCGGATTCCGACGAGGAGTCCGATTCGGACCGCACCGAAACGACAGACGACGACGACACCGAGGACGGCAGGGGAGGGAACGGCGGCGGCGGCGGCGGCGGCCCGGCGGCGGAGCTGCGGCAAGTGGTCGCGGCCGAGGATCGCGTGCTAAACATGATGTCGCGCGGCCAAGGCCGGCGGCAGGACGTCGACGACCTGCTGTACGCCGGCGAGGAGGACGAGGTCGACGACGAGGACCGCGCCGAGATGCTGCAGGAGGACGACCTGGCGCACCACTCCCGCGGCTACGGACACGGGCTGCTGGACGACGACGGCGACGGCCTGGACATGGACATGGACGGCGACCTGGACGACGAGATCCCCGAGGCCGAGAGCGGCATGTACGAGCACACCGATACCGAGGCCTCGCTCATGACTAGTGACGATGAGCACGAGCATGCCGAGAGGAGCTACGCCGCCGGTCAGCACCCGGCGTCGGCGCGCTTCATGGGCGCCAGTAGTGCGCGCGCCTCGCACCGCAGCGGGAACCCCAGACGCAGCATCGATATCAGCAGTATTCTGTCCCGAGACGGGAGCAGCATTGCCGGCAGTAGCCCCAACGTGATGAGGAGACACTGACGAGATTATGAGGCACTGAAACGACAACGAAACTTAGCTATACGAGAGAGATACACATCTTCCGTTTTGCGGCCCCTTGTACACGGAGTCATGGGCATAAAGAAAACCTATAGACAGCTTATTACAGGGATAAAGGCAAGGCCTCGCAGAGACCAAAAAAAAACATGAATAAAACCGGTAAATATGTTAAGCAAGGCTCGTTGGTCTGCCATCAACAATCCCCAAACGTGATCATTTACCCTATTTCCAAAGTCAACCAATGGACGTCATCCCGAAATGTGAACACGCCTTGGTGTGCCATGATCGAAAAACTCGCGATTAAACTCCCATGAACTCCCAGGATATATCGTTTTGTGTGATGGTGGCTCTCGCGTGACATCCGTGCCTTCTTTAGAATAGCCAGACGTAGATGAAGAGGAAGGCAACGGCGGCAAAGAAGAGCAACCAGACCTTCCAGCCGACGCCGGTCCTCTCCGCCATGAGGAGCATGCGGTTCATGGTGCCGCGCAGCCGTAGCCTGGTTGTGTCGAAGCTATCGTTCATCTTCTCGGCGAGGGCCGAGGACTCGCGGATCTCGTCGCCAATCGCAACCGTCATCTAGGGAGCAGGGTGCTGTGTGAGCAGATGGTTCCAGGTCGTTGGCCCAGCGGCCATGTCGCCATCACAGCGCCGATCCATATCACAAGGCTGTGGGGCCTGGCTGCTTACGTCTTTCAACACCCTAACCTTGCCTAGAATCCCTGACACTTGCTCGTCGTTCTGGCTCTCGAGCTCGTTGAGCACCGCATCGCTGTATTGGCCCCTGTTTACACCAGAAGATCCAGATGGTCAGCTCAGTCTCACACCGCCTGCCTACTGTTCGGGAGAGAGGCCGACTGACTTCCTATTGGGGGTTGCGGGCCGATATGAGGAGCCCTGGACTCCGAGGTGGTTGCTCCCGCCAGCCGGGGCCCCGCTGCCGCCGGGATATCCATACCCGTATCCGCCGGCTCGATTCGGGCTTGCGCTGGCCTGGCGGCTGTTGGACGAGTTGCCGCCGTAACCCTCGAACAGGGCGCTGCGCGGGTCGCGCTGGTGGAGGGACGAGGTCCCGAACCTGCTATAGTCGGGGCGGCATCGCGGTCAGTCACGAGGGGTCGGTGACCGGGGGGTACGAGTTTTGACTTTTCGGCTCGAAACGCCAGCAGCGTAAAAGGCAAGGCGGGCTGTCGGGGGGTCAACGCGCAGGCGCGCCGACCGGAGCGATCAAGCGGCTGAGGGAAGGCGGCGGGCTGCGGCTGGGCTTGGCGGCTCAGCGCGCTCCGGAGCCGGCGGTCGACGTAGCATAAACACCCTTGGACCCCCCTTTTTTCCTGCCATCGCCTTCCTGTTTGCGCGGGGATGGGAGACTGCTGCTCACCTTGATGCCATGATAGCCGTTTAAGCCTTCGCTATTGTTCCATGTGGCAGAAGTTCTGCAGCGCAGTGCAGAAACTTTGCGAAATGGTCGGTGCCCGCGAGAAAAGGGGGAGAAAGAGTTGGTTCAGCGACAGCAAGACCAGGTCGCAAAGCCTGAATTTCACCTTGGACTGCTGGCTGGCAACCAAACCACCGCGACCCCCTGCAAGGGTTTCCTTTCTCTGGCGGATGCGCACTGGGTACTGTAAAGTTGACCGTCACTTTGAATGGCATGAGGTGATGTGGCTTCATTCAATCAGATGCCGGAATGCTCTGTGTCCAATTATAGCGGATCTCCACCAGCCGCAGATGATCGATGTGGGTCCGCGCAGTAGGAGGAGCCCCTTGAACGGGCTTCAACGGCTTTGCGAGGGACAGAGAATCGACGACGAGGTAGGTGATGCTTCGAGCTGCCGAGTTGCCCACCGAGTGATGTTGTAGCAGGCTGGTCTTCGTTCCGATGAATCATGTCGGCAGGGTTTCGGTGGCATCAAACACGACATCGAGAAGCCTGTTCCGCGGCGACGACGATGGAGGTCACCCAACAGGGTGCTCCCAGTGGGGCCGACCGGCTGGTGGCCCCTTTCTCAGCCGCCTGGAAGCAACAACATAACGCGACGGCGCCACATACAGACGGGATTGGGAACTGAACACATCAATCAAAGTCGATCAGACCTGAGTGACCCGTATCCCGCGTGGACCCAGGCCAAGCCAGGATCGGCCTCCCACCTTGACAGCCCGCCCGCCCAGCTCGCCCGCCGCAGCCTACACGCACGCAGCTGAGAGGCAAGCTAACGGGACACGAAAAAAGAGGCCAGATTATGCTACATTGCGCATCCCTTTCTTTCCTCCTCAGCTCTGCGCTCGCCCAATAGTCGACTGCACGGAATTGTTTGTTTTTCCGCAACAGAGTTGCCTCTGTTTTCCTTTTGGTCTCTCCGTCAGACGAGAGTTTTGGCCTGTCAATTTCCTCGCGGGCCGTTGATGTCGGATTGATTTAAATGATTTCTGGGGTAGACTTCTGACCTGTGTCTTCTTTTTTCCAATTCCACTCTGGACCACCTCCTTTTTTCTCCTTCGACACGCTCGTTTCTACGTCATCTTTTCCACCCATCACCTCCCCATTCTCCCGAGGGACCTCTTTGCTAAGGTCCTTGAGTGTTTATCGGCCGATCCACAGACGCACCTGTCATCAAGCAGTGTGTAGAGCAACCCCGTCGCGATGGCCGCTGTTCCGGCGGCGGTGGCCTCGGGCGCCGACCTGGGCGACCTTAGGAGGCGCAACGTGCCAGGCGAAGAGACGGCGCCCCTCATCCCCAAGGTTGAGGCGGACGATGACAAGAAGAAGGCTGCTAAGAAGGTAAGGAAATCACCATTATCGCACTGGCCACGACTGCTTCCCAACTGCTGTGGCCTGATGGGATATTGCAAACACACTTTGGCGAGAACCTGGCTTGTCGCTAACGCTGGTGGTGGCTCGAATAGCAACCTTCGATCCTCGAGGTCCTCGACCAGTGGGAGTTCCTGATCGCACCCGTCGTCTTTACCATCCTGGCCTTCTTCACGCGCTTTTACCAGATCGGCAAGTCCAACATTGTCACCTGGGACGAGGCGCACTTTGGAAAGTTCGGATCGCACTATATCGAACGCACCTACTACTTCGATGTCCACCCCCCGCTGGGCAAGATGCTGGTCGGCCTTTCGGGCTACATGGCTGGCTACAACGGCTCCTTCGAGTTCAAGTCGGGCGAGAAGTACCCTGACTGGGTCAACTACACTTTCATGAGGCAGTTCAACGCTTTCTTCGGCGCCGTCATCATTCCTATGGCATACTTTACTGCCAAGGAGCTCAACTTCCGCCGCCCCGCTGTCTGGCTCGTTACCCTGATGGTTCTGTGCGAGAACAGCTACACGACCATCTCTAGGGCAAGTCGATCCGTTCTCAAGACGCAAACTCGCTCAGGGACACATCCGCTAACATGGCACTCTCCTACAGTTCATCCTTCTCGACTCCATGCTGCTGTGCGGTACTGTTTCTACCGTCTTCTGCTGGGCCAAGTTCCATCGTCTCCAGCACAAGAGCTTTGAGCCCGAGTGGTTCCTCTGGCTGTTCCTGACTGGGTTCAGCATTGGGTGCGTCACTAGCGTGAAGCTTGTCGGCCTCTTCGTCACTGCGCTCGTCGGCCTTTACACTATCCAGGACCTGTGGAACAAGTTTGGCGAGCTGAAGATGCCGCCTCTGGAGCTTGGAGCCCACGTTGCCGCGCGCGTTGTTGGCCTCATCGTTCTCCCCTTCCTCGTCTACATGCTCAGCTTCGCCATTCACTTCGCCGTTCTTACGAAGACGGGCCCGGGTGATGCACAGATGAGCTCTCTCTTCCAGGCAAACCTGCGGGGAACCGAGGTCGGCAAGGACAGTCCCTTGGAGCTTGCTTACGGCAGCCGCGTCACCATCAAGAACATGGGCTACGGTGGCGGTCTCCTTCACAGCCACGTCCAGACGTACCCCGAGGGCTCGACGCAGCAGCAGGTGACGTGCTACCACCACAAGGACTCCAACAACGACTGGTTCTTCTACCCGAACCGTCGCGAGCCCGAGTATAATGAGACCGAGGAGCCGCGCTTCATTGGTGACGGCGACAGCTTCCGTCTGATCCACGCCCAGACCGGCCGCAACATGCACTCGCACGAGATCTCGGCTCCCGTGACCAAGTCGGACAAGGAGGTCTCGTGCTACGGCAACCTCACCATCGGCGACGACAAGGATCACTGGAAGGTTGAGGTTGTCCGCGACGTAGCCTCGCGCAACCGCAGCCGCATCCGGACTCTCACTACCGCCTTCCGGTTGAAGCATGAAGTTCTGGGCTGCTACCTCCGCGCCGGCAATGTCGTACGTGCCCCAGCAATACTAGCAGGCATACTGTAGTGCATGTGTGCTAACAGTTCATCTCCCAGAATCTGCCTCAATGGGGTTTCAAGCAGATCGAGGTTGCCTGCACGCCCAAGAACAACCCTCGCGACACTTACACCTGGTGGAACGTTGAGGCGCACACCAATGACAAGCGTGAGTACCTCGACGCAACGGTTTCGTTTGGACTAGACCTATAGAACTACTCGCTAACCCTGGCACAGTGCCCAAGGGAAACCCCGCCGTCTACAAGTCGCCATTCATCCATGACTTCATTCACCGTAAGTTTCCCCCACAGCCTCGATATACCGATGTAGTATCGGGTAGATGCTAACATGCAGCCCAGTCAACGTTGCCATGATGACCTCGAACAACGCTCTGGTGCCAGACCCTGACAAGCAGGATGATCTCGCTTCCCAATGGTGGCAGTGGCCTATCCTCAACGTCGGTCTACGCATGTGTGGTTGGGACGACAACATCGTCAAGTACTTCCTCCTCGGCAACCCCTTTGTCTACTGGGCCACCACGGCCTCGCTGGGCTTTGTCGGCCTGCTGGTCGTCTGGTACGTGCTTCGCTGGCAGCGCGGGTACAGGGAGCTTTCCAAGCCCGAGATGGAACAGATCCTCTACTCGGGCATCTACCCCATCATTGGCTGGTTTCTGCACTACCTGCCGTTTGTGGTGATGGCGCGTGTCACTTATGTGCACCACTACTACCCGGCTCTCTACTTCGCCATCCTGTCCTTCGGCTTCCTGATCGACTGGACGCTGAGGAGCCTGCAGAAGCCGATCCAGTACGGCCTGTACAGCATCCTCTATGTTGTGGTCATCGGGCTGTACATCATGTTCATGCCCATCTGCTGGGGAATGACGGGCCCCAACAAGCAGTACAGCTACATGAAGTGGTTCGACACGTGGAGGATGTCAGACTAATTCTAGTGGGATGACTGTTTTCCTTGCCGGTGCGTTTTGCCCGGGACGGATGGAGCCAGGCCCCCTCAACTACTAGTATGTGTGGGCATGGGGTTCCTGAGGGGCAGCCTTCACCAAACATACGCATGTAAAACAGTCAGCCACTTTGCGGAACGAATCTCCCTTCTCCTCCAGGGGTGGATGTCATCTCCTTTGTCTATCGCGGTGAACAATCTAGAAACGGATAAGCCAGCACAACGGGGAGCCGGGCTTAGTTAGAAAAGAGGGAGATAGGGACTTGTGCGGGAAGGGGAGTTCAGGTTCACATGGCCAACGGCTTGGCTAGCCGGAAACCGCCCAAGCAGACATCGGTCCGAATGAGGCCGAGTGGCAGCTTTCCCTCGAGCCGAGAGTAATGCAGGGAATCGAATGCAATTCATTTCTTTTTTTTTTTGGCCGAAGTTTGCGTATGTCATGTTCTCGCTACTTTGGGGTCGTGATGTATTATACCGCATTGTCCTCATCATGACTCAAATGCTCTCACCGTCGATGTCGTATTTGAAGGCCTGCATGAGCAATCAATGGAAGTAGGCAGCGTGCAAAAAGCCGTGCATTAAGCTTGCTACAAGTGACCAGGAATGGCGCATCGTTTCCTTGCGTCTACAACACCGCTATGCTTTTGCGACGATACCCAAAAAAAAAAACACATCAAAACGATCCGTCCCATCCATCCATTCTGGCCCGATCCCAGAAGATGTGTATGCGTACAAGTGTGCATCTATGCGCCGAGCAAGATGGACACAACGAATAAAGAAAAAAAACAAGACGCGTGAGAGGGCGATCAGCAGCAGCCGTACCCGCCCCGCCTGCTGTCGCCGACGTTCATCTGGACCTGCCTAGTGCCGCTGAGGGTGCCGGGGACCTTGACGCCGGACTGCCTGCTGTTGAGGTTGTACTTGCCGGCTTGGATGTTCTGGTAGATGCGCTCGGCGAGGCGCATAAAGGCCAGCTCGACGTTCTCGCCGCTCTTGGCCGACGTCTCAATGTACTCGATCACGTTGTCGCTGTGCGCGCGCACCCAGGCTTCGGCCTCGTCGCGCGTCACCTCGCGCTTATTTGAGCTCTTGCTCACGTTGCTGTCCCGCGTCAACAGCGGCCCTGTCGTTATTGTGCTTGTCGGCGCTGGCGGTTTCGGCAGTGGCGCCGGTGTTGCTGCCGCTGCCGCGCCGCCGTTCTCGTCAAGGCGCGTCAGGTCCGCCTTGTTCCCGACGAGGATGACGACGGGATCGGACTCGGCGTGGCGCTTCAGGTCCTCGAGCCACGACGTGGCGTGCTGGAACGTGTCGCGGCGCGATAGGTCAAACACGAGCAGGGCGCCCGACGCGTTGCGGAAGTACGACTGGGTCACGGAGCGGTAGGTCTCCTGGCCGGCCGTGTCCCACACCGAGAGCTTCATGTGCTTCTGCGGGCCCTCCTCCTCGGCCGGCGGCTTCGCGGCCGGCGGACCGCGACGGGCCGTGTTTCTGGGCGTGCCCGGCGCCGCTGTTGATGCGCCATCCCGGACCTCTGTCTTTGGGCTTGATGCCATCGGGCTCGCCGGCGCGGCGGCGCCTGATAGGGGCGGGAGTGTTCGGCTGTGGGGCGGGCCGACGGGAACTATGCGACCGCCAAGCTCGAGGCCGATAGTCACGTTGGGCTGGGCGTCGAAGCGGCCTTCGGACAGGCGCACGGTTAGGCTGCTTTTACCGCAACCGCTGTCACCGATACAGACCAGCTTGGCGATGTAGTCCCATGGTGGCGCCGACATTTGCGCGGCGAGGGGGAGTAAGGGAGGTTGCGCGGAAGTCGTTATACTCTGAGAGGATGATCGAGGGGCTAGAGATGACGAAGGACAAGACGGCGGGGATATGGAAGATGAGAGAAGAGACGCGATGTATATCAATAGAGGGGGAACCAGTCTCGTTCGGGTCGCCTTTGTGTAACGGCTGGGTTTGCTTTTTGTTCCTGGCTAGGTCGAGGCGCGGTTGGCTAGGAATTGATATCAAACGGCGCTCATGGATGAGGCGCGTCGGATAAAAGAGCGCCGATTATTTTGCGAGCGAATTACTCGGTCCTTTTTTAAACCCGCCCGCACGATCTCGTTGGCGACAACGGCTAGGTAGGTTGCAGTTGGACCGTCGTGATTGTGTAATCGTAAAATCGTGGAACAGGTAACGTGATCGTTTCTGGATGGGAGTCAATCGGACGTGATCGATGGTGGTGGATTGAGTTGCGCTCCAGCTGTTTCGTGATGCTGCTGCGATGGGTACAAATTCCTCACCATTCCGCCACCTTGGTCATGGAGCTAAGGTATTGATCGCAGGACGGAGAACTGGGGCCAGGGTGCATGGAAGAGGGGCGCCCCAGTCCAAGACCAGCCGAGGCGAGGCGGACGGCAGGCGGACCTCAGGCAGACCCGGTGACATCAGCTGCGCTGCTGCAGGCACGTACCACGCATCCGCTCCCTGCTATGTGCAGTCCCAAGAGATCAGAATTGCTAGTGCGGTGGGACGGCCCTTGAGAACAGCCATCACAGACAGGAAGAGAAATAAGATATAAAAAAAGGGGAGAGGAACAAGGAGAGGAATACGAATAGGCATATAGACATTAACTTAGACTGATTGTTCTGCGAGAAAAAAAACATATGGTCAAATCCAAAAGAAGGACAACAAAAGCCCACGGCACTAACATTTCTGATCCCTGGAACATGTACCCATGGGCAAATCCATTACCCACTCGACGGCAGCCGCACCGCACGCGGACATTCCCTTCTCGTGCATTCTATCTGCGACGGAGCTGGCGGGTGAGTTGTTTGTAGGCTCCCTTGGTCCATCCGCGGAATCTGCCCTGATAGACCAGCTGGAGATCGTTGCGGTATTCTCAGCTCTGGTCAAATGTTGCACGCCGGATTCGGTGCGAATCAGAAGTGCTGGACTGGCAGCTGCTGCCTTGGTGACATGATTGCACTGCCGCCGACTGGAAGCTCCCCGTCGAGACAGCAGCTAAGCCTGATTCGGTACCTCATTGCCTACGCCAGAGGTCGAGGCTGCTGGCTGCCCGACTCAGGGGCCCACAGTGGCCCGGGACTCGCACCCCCAGGCTTCTGCTCCAGTCTCCGCAGGCGGTGAGTGTGACCTCCGGATGGAGCCAGGGTCTGTCGTTAGTAATATGACGCCTGACGGGGCCTGTGAGAGAATGCAGTGATGACCGCTGCCGCGTGCAGACGAACGGCTTTCACGGGCCACCAGACTTTCAGCTACCACCCTCCAGCCCAGGTGTTTTTGTGTTTCTCGGGCTCCCAGGCAGTGACCAAGACGCGGCGGTCGCTCGCTGTTCGCCACTACGCCAATCAACGAGAACGTGACGCCTCCATCCTGCCTCTGCTGTAGGTAGTTTGACCCTCCTCTCGCATCCTCCCAAGCTCGTCCTCTCCCGTTTTGGGCAGCTCCCGCATTCTGGGTTCTGGGCCTGGATCGCCGCCATCCTTCCTCCTGCCACCAAAACCTAGCACCACAACGACGTCAAACACGGCACCTCCTCGCCTCGGACCTTTTTCGAGGTAACCTTTGACCTTCACCTGCCGTCCCCCGCACACGACCACCACCATCCCGACCACCACTCCCACGACCACCACTACGGCAATCACACCTCCCTGTCACCTCGGGGTAGCTCCTCCAGATCGCGTGCCTCCCGTCGCCTTTGTCTTACTCGCCCTTGTCTAAGCTGTTCATTGTCTTGTGCTTGGGCCGACCCGCCGACAAGAGTCACCAGCACAAAAAAAGGCAACTGAGTCGGGCACCCGCACGCATGTGCTGCTACACATCCGACGTCGACAAACCTCTTTGACTTTGCGGCAATCGGGCTCGTTTGCACCACTCAACAACACTCTTTCCTGGTATTTTCTTCATTTACTGCCATTTTGTATATTCGACTTGAACCTTTCGCGCCCAGAGAGCGTCGCCTCTTTTCTTGAGCGGCGTGCGGAGCTGGGAACATGTTTTCCGAATGTGAGTGTCCGAAAGGGCGATGCGCCGCCGCTTCCGCAACCGGCATCGCTCCCCCTCTCCTCCTGTCGTCACCCACACAAGTATGTTTCCGGACCTCAACTGACGCCCGCGCCCGGCAGATGCATCCAGATTCCTAGCGCAGTCCCAGTCGCGAATATCGAACCTCGGAGCTCCCCACGACGACAATGGCGAACAACAACCGGCGATTAGGGGTGGCGGGCCAGAGTGGCCCGCTCGGGGGTCGCGACATGGGCGGACCTTTATGAGCAGCGGCCGCGGGCTGGCCGCCGGAAACCCGTACCAGCAGACCGGCACAGGATCTCGTTTCGGCGGTCTGAACTTTGCCTCGCGATATTCGGCCGCCCCTGCACCGGAGGCCCCATTGTTCCTGAGCACCCGCGGCGGAGACGACGATGACGACGACGAGCGCGACCGCGAACACGCCGACTTTTCGGCATTGCAGCGCTCGAGGCGAGTGATCGCCGCCGGGAGGCTAGAGGAGAGCTCTGAGGTCGAGGGTGATGCAAGCCGAGGGTCGCTGGAGCGGAGCGGGGAGGCCGACCAGGACAGCAGGACCCTGTACGGCCCAAGGGGACGTGGCATCCGGAGCAGCTGGAACGGTACTAGGAGTTTCTACCGGAGGACCAAGAACCAGGATCTTGTGGAAGAGGAGGATGAGGACGAGGGAACGCCGTTAGGGAAGCGCCCGTCGCCGCCCCCGTCTGACAACGACAGTGGCAAGGGCAAGCTGGTCGACGTCGGGCTAGAATCCACCGTACTCCGCCAAGACGACGACGATTACGATGACAACGAGCCACCACACGACCTGACTGTAGAGGCACCGGCCACCAGCTCGCCTCCCGCATTCCAGAAATTCAAGTCCCCAGCCAGCCCGACCCGATTTTCTTCTCCCCGGCGCTCCTCGCGCAGGGACTCTGCCGCTGCCGAGTCCGAGGTTGGCCTGCTGCGGCAGAGCACGGCAAGCACAAACATCCTGGAGCATGTCGCGGCTCCGCCTGACGGAGAAATATTCAAGCACGACCCCTTCTTTGCCTGGCTGTACCTCATCGCGCTCGCTTCGCTTTTCGCAACGTTCGTGCTCGTCTACCTGCACACATCCACGCCGAGTCGTAAGAAGCCTCTGGGAGACACAGTATATACGACGCTGGTCTCGTCCTTCCACCTCCTCGCCGTCGATACCCTCGTTGCTATCATCGTGTCATTCGTGTGGTTGGCGGCACTCCGGTCCTTCGTCAAACCGCTCGTGTGGCTCATCATCATTGCCGTGCCAATAATCATGTTCTCGTTTACGCTATACCCCATGATTTCTAGCTTCCAGGGACGCGACCACGGCTCTGGATTACAAGACATCGTCATGAGGTGGGCGTCCTTCGTCCCCGGCATCGGCGCCCTTGTGTGGCTCTACCTCGTTTGGAAGGGGCGTGGCGCGCTTAGGTCAGCGATGGAGATTCTCGAATTCTCGAGCCGCATTCTCGCGGCCAACCACGGTCTCGTTCTTGTCGGCGCCGCATGCCTCGGACTGATTGTTCTCTGGACGTGGGTCTGGCTGGGTATGTTCACGCGCGTGTTCCTGGGTGGCTACTTCACGGGCACCTCATACGTGCTGCAAGCGTCCACTTGGTGGCTGGCCGTCTACTTCGTCCTGATGTACCTCTGGACCCTGTCCATCATCTCGGGCGTTCAGCGGGGCACAACGGCGGCGACCGTCTCGCAATGGTACTTCCACCGGAACGCCGTGCCTGCGCCGTCGTCGACCGAAGTCGTATCAGCTGCTCTGGGCCACTCAACGACGACGATATTTGGCTCCATCAGTCTCTCGACGCTCCTCGCTCTCGTGGTCCGGCTGCCGCTGCTCCTACTGCCACGACGGCTCGCAGGCCTCGTGACGCTGTTTTTCCACGCCTTCATCCCCACGTCCATCGCGGCGCTGACGAACCCGCTCACCCTTACCTACGCAGCCATCCATTCGCAAGGTCTGGCGGCCTCGGCCAGGGGGTTGAGCCAGCTCAACTTCCTGTCGCCCGAGGCGCCGACGGCGACGCTGACGCCCAAGGCGTTCCGGCACGGAAGGCGCGGGGGCCCGGCGCCGCTCCTCCCATACAGGCTGGCCAAGCTTCTACTGCACGCGACGCGGTTCATCATGGCGACGACCCTGGGTTTCGCGGGCTGGATCATGACGGCGCGGCAGCTCTCGATCGAGTCGGGCAAGACGGGCGGGGGCCCGGGGCTCAGGGGCAGCGCGTACGCGTACGTGGTTGGCATAGTGGCCTCCTTCATCGGCTGGGGCGTCCTGGGTGCCATGGAGGGCATCCTGAGCGGCATCGTGGACGGCGTCATAATCTGCTACGGCAGCGAGACGCGCATGGCCGCGGGCGGCGGGAGGTACTGCATGGAGGCCGCCTACCTATTTGGCGATCAGCGGCGCGCTGCGGACCGTGCTGCGAGAGATGGCGGGGATGTGTATTGAGGAGGTCATAGGGGAGAGGCTGACGTTGTAGGAAGGGGGTGGTGGCTTCACGCCCTTTCTCAACATAGGCCCGTTTTCTTCTTTTCTGTTTTTTTTTTCTCTCTTGACGACACCTTATTGGCTTCAATGTTTGGTGCTTATTTGATTTCTTGCTCGACGCCACGTCGCCAAGTCCCAGCTTTGGTCGTTTCGGTGTTCATCCTTTGTTACCCTTTCTAACACCGGACCTTGCCTACTTGCATTGCGGGTTCCATTTTTAGCAAGTTCGGCTTTCGGGGACTCCTTGCTAATAAGGAAGCTTTTCATCATCACAAACCACGGAGCTTTCCAATTTTGCTTGGTTATAGATTGGTTGGTGTCGGTGTGCGTATGGCATGTCTATTTCTTGGCATCCTTGGTAGAATGATATGATAGAAGGGAATGGGCTGAAGAGGAATCCATTGGTTGGACAGCGCCCAGCGGAAATATTGGCCATCACTATTGCTATTCTATTCGGCACCCCTTGTCCCATGTTTTGCTCTCTGCTTGCTATTGTGCTGCACATGTTTGCGGGAAACTCGCTTCTTTGTTCATTGGATTCATCCAGGTGTCTAGAGGAAAAGTCGCTCGTGTACTTGGGAGCCCTCTGCTTCGGGGATCTGCGTGCTTTTCACGAAACTTTGTCATTTCGTCAGGCTGCTGTCTCGCCGAGGTGGTCCTGTCCGACGCCGTCTGTCGAACCTCCGGCCGGAGGGTTGGGGCAGCCCTTGTTGCCGCATTTGCCAGCATACGTGGGCCCGTCGATGCGCCTGGGCTCGCACGCGTCCCAGCTCGAGCAGCCCGTTATCGTCACGACCTTGAAGTGGCCGCAGGACCAGTAGTCGGTCTTGACGTTGCACATCTGTGGAAGCCGGTTTTGGAGTTAGTACCATTGCTGTACAACACCTCTTTGCGAGGGCCTTCAAGCCTACCTTTGCTGGCGGTGGGATTATTGTTGGTTTTGTGGCTTGGTTGCAACTACTTGTGTGCTTGCCGTGGTGTTTGGATGTTTCTTACCTCCGTCCTGTACTTGGGCGGGCGGATGGTGTCTCACCGTGGAGTCATAGGGGACTGTGTCCCTATCTCGCTTAAGTATCCAGGCAGAGCAGTCTTGCCCTCAATGATCTCCCTCCTGATATTGGCCCCCAATCAGAGGGCGCCAATGAGCAGGCTTTTGGTTGGCCGACTCGGCCAGCCCTGCGAGACCAGGCAGATTGTTCTCGCGGCCAACCCAAGGCCGGGACACGCGATTGAGCTAAGCTATGGATTAAAGGATGACTGGGCCGGGACGACGGTCTATCTAGTTCGAGGTGCAATGACAACGGACATAAATAGGGGCTAAAAAACGATTGAGCCGAGAATCGCAACAAACCCGATCTTGCATTGGGCAAGCCCCTTTTGAACGTTTCATCTACCAACCTTTTGCACATTTCCAACACCGAGTGTCAATGGACGCCTGCAGCGATGTATGAGAATTTCTTTGCCACCGATGTTGACTAGTGGCGGCTTTACAGCTAGAAATTCCCGCGTGCTCAGAAGTATATATCGCTTAGGCGCCCGGCTTGCCGGACAGGCTTGGTTGCCGCCGCCGCCTGGCCTCGGTTTGGGCCGACTGCGCCTCACACCTCTGGGTTAGAATATATCGTGCTCTACGTGCAAACGGTTCCCAGCCACCCCCTAAGCCCCACCCGAACAGCTCGCGAATAAGTTCATTCGTGACGAGTGGACTAGTAGCACGGTCCAATGGCATGCATGCCCCTTCCAACAGACCGTTGGTGCATTCGGCTTGTTTCCTTTCCCAGCCCAATCTCTCTCTCTCTCCGTACCTTTATATTTATATTCTCTTTTAGCTGCTGAGTCTCTAAACCAGGTATTCCACCTTCGCTCTCTACTAGGACCGTCTAGTGATGAATCAACCCTGTTCGTATCTTGCTCTCCGGACCCGGCAGTAAGGTATACGCGGTCACGTTCGACCACCTTATCCCGCCCGACGACGACGACCCGCAAACGGTCTGCCCAATCATTTACGAGCTAGAAGAGAAGGGGCCCGAGTCCGACGTCGCCCACGTCAACGAGCGCGTCCTATTTCCGGTGGGCCCTGTCGATTACGTGAGGAAACGGGTGCTTGCCGTGCCCCGGTGCTGCCAGACGCACACCGGCGCGGACGACGACTACAGGATCAGTGGCTGCGTTCAAATAAGGGATGGAAACCCTACCCGGGAGGTCTTCGTCCTCTCCAAGGAGCTACCGCCCTTCTTGGAATCACCGTCCTTCCCGGAGACGGTAAGCCGATTGGGCGGGATATCGGTACTGGCGCTGATGGGTGGTGGCGATGGGGCGGCGGAAACCTAACGGCAAGCAGAAATTGTTGAAACGGTAGGATGAGGCTTTTAATATTTGTTTGATCGCATAAATACTCTCCGGTTTGCAACTTCAAGTCTTGCAGTTTACAAACTTGTGGTGAAGCGCCCAGCCCTATGAGACATAGTTCCTTGTCAGCCCTCGTATTGCACCCGCAAGAGTATTTGACCTTGGTGAAGCGGCACATTTATATAGTAGTTAGACAAGCCGAACGGCACCAAGGGAATAACGACTACAATGTCACCTTCTCTACGCCGCCAACAGCAAGAGTCCGAAAGATGTGCGCTTGCTATTGGCGACGTGGAGTAGGAGACTGGGTGGTCGCTGGCCACTTGGTGCCGTCCTGCTTGGGTACTTGGCCGTAGATGAGGTCCCGAAATGTACCCGGAAAGAATACGTTGCTGCACTTGCGGGCATGATCTTCCGCCGATGCCTCAGGGGCACTCAAAGGGCAGTATGGGATGGATTGTGTGTATGAACCTGGATCGATGACTGTGATGCTTCTTTGCGTAGATGAATGGGATGAATGGCTTGGTGCTTCTTTCTCTCGTGTGGAGGGAGACTGGCCGGACGGAGGATTTATATATATACACCGGGACCCCAGGTCTCCCGGATAGCCTTAAGAATAACGCCTTGTTGAGCCGCCGAGAGCACCCACAATGGAGCCCACTCCGATCCTCGTGATAGTTCCAAGCTCAGAACACGCCGGTCGCGGGCCCCAAGACCAACATGCCTACCACACACCGAGATTAAAATGACTAACCAGTGACCATCGTGACTACGCGCGCGGTGGGTCGGTCTCTCCCCTCCAGCCAGCCATTTTCAGACTCCATGCAGCATAGTCAAGAAGTAATTTGTCGAGTTTTTGCCACTATGATTATTGAACAGTGAAACCAATCCGTTCCATTCAAGTACACATCGGTCATATCACTTCTTCAGCGATCCCCCGGTCATGCCAAACTCAGATCGCACACCTCGCTTCCACTACGCGGTTAGCCAGATCGACGACAATTCGTAGCTTATCAACGAATTGTTCATCATCCGTCGCCAGTCCTCCCCTCCCGCCCAATACCTTTGGAAAGATGACGACGGCTTCTGGTACACGCACGGGAAGGCGCCCGATCCGCTGCCTGCGACAATCCCCGTACGTCACGCTGGCGTGGCTCGCCGATCGGCGGGATCGCCTCAGCTCCGCCATACCAAATGTCATCCACTTCCAACGCGAGGAAGATGCCGAATATCTCATCACCTCCAGTGTCCCCGGCGCCCTCCTCAAGGACGTCTGGCGAGGGATGCCCGAGGACGAGCGGCGGCACCTCGCTGGCCGGATCATCGAAATTTGTGAGGAGCCGGCGTCGACTTGGGCCTCCAACGCCATGTCCGGGGTTGACGGCTGGCGGCTGTTCGAGAACTGGCTGAACTTCTGCGTCGGCCTTCCTCGCACCTGCGAACCGGACGAAGACAACATCCAAAATATCCGTGAACGTCTGGGCATGGACTACTCGAAGCCGTTCGTCTTTGCGCACGGCGGCATCGGCGGCGGAGAGGTCGTGATCGACTCGGACGGCTCGATCGGGCTGATAAACTGGGCTAACGCCGGCTATTGCCCGTGGGGGTGGGCCAGGACCAAGTTTGCCTGTTCGTAGGGTCTAGACTTTGGGTGGCCTGATGTAAACGGCGGATACACGTCTGTGAGAGAATGGAGGGACCTGGTTGCCGAGATAATGGGCGAGAGGGGCCATCACAATGTCATGCCGGAATACAAGCGGCGGGTGAACGAGTATATGAAGCGTGACACTCTGGAGGAGCGACAGCGCTGGATAGCCCTCAGGAATCAGGCCCAGGAGCAGAGGGACCAACACGCTCAGAGACGGCGGGAGCAGCGGCCAAGGACCAGCAAGCAGAATGATCAAAGCATTGACGTATCGCGGATTTCGTTAGTGATTTGAAATCTCCTATGGATCTAGGTAGGTAATCAGTCGGAGCTTTACTTCATTACAATATCCTCGGCTCTCGGCGCTTTCGAGACTCAGTAATGCTATAAATTAAGCGCCAAGTTTGACCATCACACGGCCCTGGCGCTTTGCTGGCTTGGCCGGCGCCTCACCTCCGTATCCACACCATGATGTACAAGGTTTCCTAGCCATCTCCACAGGGTGGCCTACGAAGACAGAACGGTCACCAACGACGCACCAACGTCCCTGAGCCACGAGCCGAGAGCTCTTGTGCCCTGGCTTTTCCCAGCGTTCCCTCTCGCCAAACGTTCATTATAATGCCCAACTGGCAGCTCGTTCTGGCACCACATTTGACTCCAGATGCTCATCTGCGTTCACACAGCAGAAACCAAGCCGGAGATGCCCGCCGCGAAAGACCCTCTTGGGGGTCAGCACGAACCACTCACTTGACACCAGCCGCGCCCTGCTTGCCTCAAGCTCTGTGCCGGGCGCTTGAGCACCATCTCGGCCGCGTTGGCGACGTATTCCCTAGTGTGCGGGCCTCGCTTCGAGCTGGCGCCAGAGGGCGGCTCTGTACGAGATGATTAGTTCTGGTTGATGACCGAGAGAGCGGTCCGACTGGGCTGCTGTTCAGTCAGATCCCAGATCCAAGCGGCGCGTTGCTCAATGGAGGGCCTCTAAAGGCCTTCGCGGACAGCCGAGTCTGCCAAAGACTGCCGTCCAGCCAAAGTGCTGTACAACGGGTCTTGAAGCCATCAAAGAAGCGGACGTGACTTGGGTCTTTAAGCCCTTGTGCAAATCATGCGCCCTTGTTCGACCCAAAGTAGGTGGGGAGATAGCCACTTCCCCAAGTCATGCGTGGGCCGTTCTCAGCACCCCGGCCAGGGATTCCGTCCAGATCCAAGAGCCGTCCGAAAAGCAGGTGACTACGGGCGGTGCCTTTCTTCTAGCTCTTTTGCGAGAGCGGGGAGGATAAAGCACCTCTTCGGTCGGCCTGGCTGCCAAAATGGAAATGTGGAAACTTCGACTGACATCCCCAGTCGAAGCTGCGATACCAGGTCGCTGTTGGACATCAGTAGAGGCCACGCAGGCGCCAAGGTCGCCTCCATTCCTAGCCCTCGACCATTCTTGCAGATGGCGCGCGGCCTGGGTAGAGTCGGTATGGCCGCGCCTGTGCGCTGTCGGCAGTTTTTGTTGCCGCCGTCACACCGATGGAAAGGGGCCTCTGGCCTCTGGTAGCCCACGGCGGTTGTTGGAGATATTTAAGGGGGATTGCCCTCCGATTCGGGTCTCTTCTGCTTTTCAACTACACCACCCCCTCACAGGCCAGTCAAATTATAAAGAGCAGCAATACTCCAAACCAACTCAGAAGACAAATCCTCTCAAGACACCACAACGGCCGGACGTGGAAGATAGGCAGGAGGTCGTCGGCGAGTAGAACTACCGCAGCGACTACCTTACCTTCACTGATATGCCGCCAAGCCCGCCTACACCTCCGCCCTACGGACCCCGTCCGGGCCCCGTTCCCCCCGTGCCACCAGGGAACCCGACCCCGCCGCCCTCACCTTAAGTTGCAGCAAGGTCGCTGACTCCATGGGATAAGCCGGCCTGTGAGCCTTTCGGCCCAATCCTCCAATACTAGCATTGGCGTCTAGTTGGATAATGTTGCTGGCTTTCTTTGCAATTGCTCATTGAAATTGCTTTTCCCAAAGCTGCCAAGATGATGGATGTACTCGATATCAGACGTTGCCACTGGCTGGTGCCCAATCCCCCTCTACATGGTGGGCATGGGGGAAGCAGGTGGAGGCGATGGAGGGTGGGTGGGGGGTTGAGATACGACATACATGCTTCAGGACACAGTCTGTCTGGCTGTTGATGAGGACCGTGGGATGCAGGAACTGAAAACAAGGTGGAGGAACAAGGGACATGTCGCACGCAGGGCACATTCTGCTCTCTTTTGTCGTTTCTTTTTGTCTTTAGATAGATATCACTACCTTTCTGGCATCAAAAAGTCACTAGTTGACCCAAATTTCTGTTCACGTCCCGTTGCAGCCGGAATCGGTGCCATCGTCACACAGGCTGCTATCTTTCACGTACCAGGACGACATTGCCGATTTCAGAAGCCGGTATGGACTCAATGTCTGCGGGAAGACGGAGAGTTACTCGTCTATTCCACGGCACTTGCGGCAAGATATATCCATCAGCCCACGCGCGCGCACTTCAAGCCGGCCGGCTCGAAGTGGCACATGGTCTTTGCCAGCCACGAGTACCCAATGCCCCAACGGAACGCAACGGGAGGCCCCGTCTTATGAGGGCAGCTCCCGGTCGCAGACAGAACCCGACGCTGCGTAGGGCTCGTCTATGTATTAGGGCGGCGATCTCATAGCCCCTCGAGAGGCCTGGGTCGGCAATGCCCTATAGGGTCTGCCACAGCACGCCCGACTCGGCTGCTGACGTTTCGCGGTGCAGCGGCTGGGCTGGGACTGGATGAGGTGGGAATTCTCAGGTCAGCTAGCTGTCTTGGACTCGTCTTCGATGGCTCCGCTGCGTGCCGACAAGGCCCAGGCCCCTGGAAAGTTCATGGCGTGGCGGTAGGTTACATGGGCATCAAGGGCCGGCCGGTCTGTTCTACTCCCGCCCTAGGAGCCCCTTGATCGGTAGCGACATCTCCTCGAGTACCAGCTCGGCAGCGGCGTCGGCGATGGGCAGTCGTGATGCGTTTATTGTTAATGTGCAGCAGAGCATTGACTGGGATCATTCCTAACCTATTAATTACACCGTAAGCCCTTGAGTAAAACTTCCTATCCCAAGGGTTGTTTTTGCTTGCTGACATATTGGTCAAGGCACTATGGGTCACAAAAGTGGTTGTCATTGTCTGTATGTTCAACAGGCTTCAGACTCGAAATGGCGTATGACATGACCATATTTACACCTGGTCGCTGTGATGCGTATTCACAGCATTGATTGCTATCGGCTGATATCATGAATGCAGTAAAGCCGTCATGTGTCACGTCATTAACCAAATGCGTGTAAAAGCTACGTAGCCCGCCAGGAAAGGCTTCCAGAAGCCAGTTCTATGACTTTATGGCCGCAAGTCAATGGAGCTGGCGTTGCGCCGTGTTCCATGTGCCAAGGTAGCAGTGGGGCGGGCTTAGACTGGGATTCGGGGAGTCTGATTGGGCGGGAGGCAAGCGACCAGACTAGTGAGGGAAACCGTCGCCCGCGACAACCACATCTCTCTCCGCTTTGAGGAGGCCCGCTGGACGAGCGCCTGAGCACCTGAAACCTGGGCGATTCCAGCGGGCCAATCAATCTCACTCGGTTCAAGTCAAGCAACCAAAGTCGGCGCACGCCTTTGCCAGCGCACTGGCAGAGCACAGAGCAGAGAGCAGAGAGCAGAGCTCAAGACGCCAATGGCCACCAATGCGTGCTCTTCTGACCTGTGACGCACCTGCCCAGCCTACATCACCTGCTCCTGCGCCGACACAGCCTCGGCGGCTCCGACAGAGGCCGCCGCCAAACAAGTGAGGGTGTCGAGTGACATCCAATTGCTCAGCTGCGACACAAAGAAGGCCAAGCCCGGCTGGGGCAGTTGCGACCGACTCAACTCAATCGCTTCCCGCCTGACACTCAATCTCACCCAACCCAACTAACGCGCATTATCACCTCGATCCCTGCTGCTGCCACTCAGCTGGCCTGTCTACGGTACCTACCCACCCTGGGCTGCCTGCCGTCAAACCATTCTTGGGCTGTCACGCACACAGCCTTTCTGCCCGCTGCCCCGCCCACGACCAAGGCTGCTGTTATTTGTGCTGCGACTGGGCGCAAATCCTTGCTGGCTTGGGCCAGCGGTGGTGACTGCTGGGTGCGCCAGCCTAGACAAGGCGATTATGAACAGCCGCCACAACCATGAGCGAAGAAAAGAAGAAAGGGGGCTTCTGGGGGTCGCTGTTCCGCTCCAAGTCGAGGCGCAAAGGCAAAGACGGCTACGATGACGACGACTCAAACGATGACACGAGGGTATGTTGGCGCTGTATGTTTCTTGACGCGCGTCGCCGCCCTCTGACCACGCCCCGCAGGATCACGACGACTATGAGAGGCGGAGCCCGGACCGCCGCAGGCACTCGGAGCCGGGCATGGGCCGGGACATTGGCCACGGAGACGACTCGGCCTCACCATCATCTTCAGCCAGCCCCGTCCGCCGCCCGCTGTCCAAGCACAGCGGCGCCGACAAGGGCAAGGGCAAGGCCCGGCGCGACTCGACTGCCCCGGCCGGGACTTGGCGGAGGAGGCGCCGGCGTGGGCCGCTGACGGACTGGCCGCCGTCCAACGTGCCAAGCGAGGAGGACCTGACGCTGGGCCACGCCATGGACCTCGTGTCGCGCGGCGCCCCCGTCTTTACCGGCCACCGCCGGCCCGTGCCGCACGCCTCGGAGAGCTACTATGCGCTCTTTGCGACCGCCTCGGCCGGCGTGCGCGGCGCCGCGACCGACGCCGCAAACCTGCATGACGCCATGGCCCAGCTGATGACGATGCGCTGGACCGCCGCCACGGGCGCTACCCGCACCACCAGCAGTGGCCGCCCGGCCCCTGTTCCCGCCGCGCGCCCGTGGGAGACGCTGGAACAGCCCAGCCTGGCCTTCCACTTTGGCGCCCGCCCAGGCACCGTTGCGCTCAATCGCTGGGTGTCGCGCGCGAGTTCACTGCCGCCCACTCTCACCCTGCGCGACACGGGCATAGCCCTGCGCGACGCCGACCTCGAGCGGATTATGCGAAGGCTGCGCGAGCTCGAACGCTATGGGCTTGAGGACGACGACGAGAAGCTCATGTACAACAACCTGTACGGCAAGTTCCTCCGCGACCGAGGCAAGCCGCTCAGCCCCCACCGCACCATTGACAAGCAGATCACGGACCTGATTGAGGTGCTGTCGCGCCCTGGCTGGTGGATCGACTTCTCGGACCCGCGCAACCAAATCGCCACGCGCTTCATATTCGACCGCGGCGAGCAGAACCACGAGCAGTACGTGCGCTTCTTCCACCAGCTCCTGTTTAGCTGCGAGCTCGACCTGCGCATCAACTCGAGCCAGCATTCCGAGAACCCCCGCGAGAAGATACTGGCCCAACTGCCGCCCACCATCCAGTGGAGCATAGCCCTGTCCCGCCGCTGGCGCGACAACATGCGCATTGACGAATTTGGTGACACGGCCAAGCAGGTCAAGCTGCGGCTCAAGCTCAAGAGGCGCCAGATGTCCATGCTCAAGCGCTTCGCCCAGATGATGAAGTGGCCCAACCTGGCCGAGATGCTCGAGAACATGGCCGACGAAGACTCGGAGGACGCCCTTGGCGCCGTCAGCTCGCACGCCATGGCCTTCTTCAGCGGCCTCGTCCTGCCCGGAATGAGCTTCCCGTTCCTGATGATGAACTCACTCATCGACGTCGACCCGGACCACGCCACCGACGAACTGGCGCTGCTTACCCACCTGCACCCCTGCTGCGGTTTTCAGTACAGGGGTAGCTACACCTACTGGTCGTCGGCCTCGGTCGTTGGCCGCGTCCTAGCCCCGACGTGCCGCGAGGTCGGTGGCTGGGTTGGCCCCGCGCGCCCGACGCGTGACCTAGCACGCACCCAGATTGCAAGGATACGCACCAGGCGGCCCAGGCTAGCCGGCCCGGGCACCAATCCCGCCGCCGGCGCCTCCGTCTCGCCGTTACCGCCCACAATCCTGCTCGACTCCACCCCTCTCTCGCCTACCACCCCTGGCCCGCAGCCACATTTCCAGGGCCTGCGCCTCATGTCCCCCGACGAAGTGCTCTCGATGCGCGAAAGGTCCGACCCGCTCGGCCCACCCGCCGAGTCCTTCCCCGTGCTCGACTACGACCTGCCGAGGCCGCAGGGCGACTCGGCCGGCACGGGCGAGATTGTGGACACGGTCCGGGTCGAGAAGCTCACGCTACGCCGCATCAACGCGCCGGGACCGGTACCTGGAACGGCGAACCCATCGACTCCTATGCTCGGCGGCGAAGGCCAACCGCCACCACCACCCGCCCCCGGCGGCGGCGGCGGCGGCGGCGGGGTTGGCGTCTTCGACGCGGGGATCCAGTTCGCCATCGACGGCGCCCCGTGGCCGCTGAGACTCAGCTTCGAGGTCGAGTTTGTGAGCGCGTGGCCGTGCGTCGAGGGGCCGCACCCGCTCTTCTACGAGTACGCCTACGCGTCCGTGCCCGTCGACCGCGTCGTCGAGATCCGAGACTGGGGCGGCATGTACGGCGGTGGCATGGGCGAGGGGGCCGTGTCGACGAGCTCGCTGGGCGGCATGATGTCCTCCTCGGCGGCCAGGGGCAAGATGCCGCAGCGGCCGCCGCCCGTGGTCAGGGACCCGGCCGACGACTCCAAGGTGCTGGTCGTCGAGGCGTTTGGCGTGCCCGACAACGAGGTGCTGGCGCGCGCGTGGTGTGCGCACTGGGGGCTCAATGCCATCGTGGCGGATGTGAGGAAGACATGGTGAGTTTTGCTCCCTCTCTGCTTCTTGCGACTAAACGCTGACCAATTCTTTCCCCCTTTTATAGCATGTCGTGCGCCATCCGCGAGGCGTACGCGGCGACCCTGACGGTTGTTATTCTTGTCGAGGACATCAAGCAGGAGCCCGACAGGTGAAGGATACCCAGCAAGCGGCCAGTCGACGAGCCGAGTTTTATAATCTTCTTCAACTCTTTCTACTTTATTGATGCTCCAATCATTCGGCGGTGGATCATGATGGGCATGGAGTGTTTGCTCCGCCCGAATTTGGATGATGGGATCGCCTATCTAGTTGTTGAACCTGCGAAGAGAACTAGATTGCCTCTGTGGTGGATGTGGATGGAGCGAAGGGGGCCGCTGCCTGGAGAAGATCAAATTACATATTTCAGCAGGTCGTTGTAAGTTTGGGCTCGGATGGTCACTGGAAAAATACCCCTTTGTTAGATCAGCGAATATTGATACAATGCATTGAAGCCTTTGTGTTTCTGTTATAACCTGGCTGTTGCTTCTAGCCCATGCCCTATTGGTATACTCGCATCCATGCCGCCTCTGCTCACCTGAGGCCAGAGTCTCGTCCCATCTATAAAGACGTGGAAATTTCCTTCCTCGTCAAGATGGATTTTCTCGACTCACATCGCCAAGCTGCACACCACCACATCAACGCGCACCCAGCCCTGGCCCTGGTGGCTTTACTTCTCTTTCTTCTCGCTTGCGCAAGATGATGTGCTCTCACCCACAAGACAGTAGCCCACCAAAATGGCCTTTCAAATACCATGCCCAACCACTTACCCCCGGACAGCGTATCAGGACTAGGCCAAGTAACCTCTCACTGCCGTGAGCGAGACACTCCCGTGGTTGGACTTTTACTCTCTTGAACTTGAAGGATCGCCGGGTGCCCTCGAGGTTGCGGCCCGCGCGCGGTTTATTAGCGACTGAAGTCGCGCTGGCACGAGTCGCACAAACCCCAGCCCGTGCTGGTCAAGCGACCGGCCGCTCTTGTGGCACTGCCCCGATGTCGACCGCGAGCCCCGTCGGCGACTCCCCCCCCCCCGCGCACCCGGTCTCCTTGGCCTCGTGATGGGGAAGGCTACTGGCCTTGTATATAATGGAAAAAATCCAACAAAAGCTTTTCACATCCCCTTCTGCCCACCAAACTCCTCGTCCGAGTCGGGTGGTATAAGGGGGTCTTGGGGAGCAGCGTTGATGATGGCGACGTCGCCTTCGAGCACCTGCGTAGCGCCGATTGATGTTGGATCAAGATATTCGGATGTCGACGCGGCGCAAGGAGGGAAATATTCGTCCAGCAGTGCGATAATCCACGTTGGTAATATCACCCTTGATATTAACGTTTTTTTTGTTTTGTTTTTTTTACGGTTCTTGTCTTCTCTATAGTACTCACGCTTCCGTTGCTTATGTATTGCGTGCTTTCCTCCGTTCTTTTCAATTGTCTGTCATTATAGCCGCTGCGTATTAAAGCGTGGGTATTTCAGACACGCCTATCTTTTCTCACGAATTTCTGTGACAAACCTAGCTACCAGCCTTACTTTACGCACGCCTAATTTGCAAATGCCATGGGTAAAAAAAATAAAAATAAAAATAATAATAAAAATCTACAGCGCCAACAGAGCAGGGGTAGCTCGAAAATACTTGTCCATGCAGGAGAGATGTTGCACCACCTGGGCACTTCCAAAAGATATAAAGTCCGACCGTGGGAGCAAGCAAGACACTCCCCAGGTGACTCAGCTCAATGATATATCCTCTCACACGCCAGTAGGCCAAGACACTTGTCGTCGCCCACGGAGGGGGCTGACAGGTAGGGTCTAACCCCACGCTAAGGTCAGTTAAAGGAGAAACGAAAAGACGCCTCGTCTCGTTGACCGAGTGGGTGTGTGTGAGCTGGCAAAGGGGCAAAAAAAACAAAAAAAAAACGAAGAAAAAAGGTCCCCTATTTCGACGCCCCCGGTTGGTCGCCTCAGGGTCCCGGGCGGCGGCGAGCAGGAATTGGCAGGTTGGCGGTGTGCAAGTGGACCCAGCAATGCGGCTTCGCTGTCCCGAATTCGTTGCGTGGAACCTTGACGGCTGGACCTGAGAGGCTCGCGCGCCAGCATGAGGTCTGGTTGTGGTCCAGGGGGACGGCGTGACGGGAGTTGGCTGCCCGACCCATGAACCCGGCACCCTCCCTGCCCGGGCTGACAGGGATCCCAGAATGCCCCACCAGACACGGTTGCAGTTATCCACAGCCAATCGAACAATCAAGACGGTCCTCGATGGATGGACGGACCGACGCCTGCCTCCCTACTTTGCCGACCGGCTACCTTTAGTGTCTACACCTACCTACGAAGCAACCGCAGTTGTCTGCTCTCTGTCTTAAAAGCACTCCTTGCGCGCATTTGCTGTTAGTCGCTTGCAGTCTTCAACCACCCACCTAGCTTGACCGTATACCCTGCGCCGCTGGTCCCATCTCATCCCGCCCATCTCCACGAGAGCTCGCTATCCACCCCCTCCAAGCCAACAGGTCCGAACAAGTCGGTCACATCCCGAAAACGCCAGCGCTGGCTTCAGAGAATGGCGTCCGGAAACGAATGGGTGCTCGGGGCTATGCAGTGTACGTTAATTTGACGTCATTTCTAGGCCCGTCCTTTTCGGGCGGGCGTACAATTCGCTACGCAGACCCTCCGCCATCACTCCCAAACTCTCATCTCTAACCACCTGGCTGACTGCGATCCCCTCCCACACAGCCATGCTGCCACCCGACTACTGGCAATTCCTCGCCCGCCACGCCCTCGACCCCGACGCGCCGGTCCAAGTGCTCAGGCGAAAATGCGTGTCGCAAGCGAGCCACGTGGCAACCGAAATGTACCCTTTGGTCGAACCCTTCGTCAACCGCGCCATCGCCGCGCTCTACAGCAGCCCCGACGTCGTCATTCTGGGCTTCGTTCTGGTCGTGCTCTTCATAGCCCTCAAGCTCCTCAACTTGGCCCGCCGAATCATGCTCTTTTGGACCAGGATAGTGATTCGGGCTGCCATGTGGGCCGCCGTCGTCGCCGTCGTCGCCTTTGTCTGGCAACGAGGAATAGAGCGATCGGCGCGCGACTCTGCCATCCTCGCAGGGAAGCTGGCCGGGTACGCCGTTGTTATCAAGGACATATGGCTGCGTGAATACCGAGAATGGGAAGCCCAAACCGCAGCCCGCGACACCGGATATATGGGCCGTCAAGGGGGTCGCTGAGTACCAGCTTGGGAGAACCAGGCCTGAGATCCTCTCTTTTGTCGCGCGCCAAATACACAGTCGGCCAGCATGTGTGTGGTGGAGGATAGAGCGGGGAAGTGAGAGCGCCGAAGCCGCAAAGGGCAGTCTTGGCCATCGACCATCGACCAGAGCTAGGAACCAGGGCGACAAGAAACAGAGGAAAAAAGAAGGAGCAAAGATCTCGGATACCCCTATAGCTACATCTGATTGGATACTCTCGGTCGCGCATCAGGGTCGCCGCGATGTGCCGGCACGCCGGAGCCATGTGCCTGGCACGGCGTGGTTCGAGGTGACAAGTGTGAGCGATTCCGGCAGCAGCCCCGTCACTCTTCTTCTGGGTCTTCGTGCTCCTCGTCCTTGATTTCCTTCGGCTCCTGAGCCTCGTGGAACTGGATGCAGTCGTCGATGTAGCTGAGGATAGCCCCAACGCTCTCTTCGTCCGAGGCGTCCAGTTTCAGGTAGCTAATCATGCTAAAGGTCTCAATCAGACTCGCCACCGCCTTGTTCAACCTCCTGAAGCTAGCGCCGCGCATCAAGACATCGGTGTCCTGAGGGTTCTTTTGCTCGTCGTCCCCGTCGTCGGCGTCGGGATGCCCTGGGCCCCGATCCTCGTCCAGCAGCGACCTATCCGGGTTCAGAAAACGCTTTAAATCCCTCTTGCGCACCTGGCCCTTGACAAGGTCCATTTTTGACAAGACGTTGATGTGCGGTACTTCGAGCATGATCATGGCGCTCATGGCGCTCAGGGTGCCGGCGAAAAACTTGGGACGATCGACGACGAAGGTGGCCTCGAGGAGGTACGCGGCGCAAAGCCGGATGTCGAGGGCGCCCGACTGTGTGAGGAACTTGACGAGGCTTGGTAGTATGGGAATGTGGGTGTACAGCTCGATTTGGCCGGGCATGTCGATGATGATCAGATATTCTTCGGTCAGAGAGTCCAGGGCCTCTGTGAGGAAGTCGAGATTCTCCATCAGAAATTCGAAGCAGTAAATCAGGCCGCCGTTGGGGCCGAGGCCCATCTCCTCCATGACATCCTCGAGTGATATCAGATCCTTGATGTCCAGATCTGGCGCGTGCTCAAAGGACTCGGCTGCGGGGTCGAGGTTGACGTAGAAGGAAGACCTCCTGTTCATGCGGAGATGTGTGATGAGAGACGCGCAAAATGTCGACTAAGTGGCCCATCATTCCATCAGCGCCGCGTATGTACAGCCAACCGCCCAGGGTGGAGGGTGGATGGGCAGCATACCTTGCCTGCGCCCGCAGGCCCCATCACCATGACCCCAAACTTGCTCATCTTTCTTCTCTCACTAGGGAAGCACGTTTTTGTGTTCTCCTAGGGCCCGATATGGTAGCCGCACCAGAAGCAGTGACGACGTATCACCGGGGTGGAGGGGGGGTCGATGCCAAGGGGGCTACTTGGGTGTATGCGTGATTGGAGGGGTTAGGTAACGTTCGCGTCGGCGTGTCTGCCCACCGTTGTCGCTCACTCTCGTTACGTGAGTCTAGGCGTGCCTGTGCATGTGTGGGCGAGGGGTGCTCGAACTTGTTCACCTCAATTGCGACGACAAGCAGAGCAAGGAACTTCTGCAGTCGCAGCCCCGCGTCAAAGCGCGGTATCGGTCTTTCTGCCGGGGGGACAAGCATCTTGATTCTACACCGCCTTTGGGGGTCCACATCCCCGACTGGCTTCATGAGAGTCGACAATCAGATTCCAGCACAATTGACAGGTACCAACCTTTATAAATGCGCCAAGAACTCTTTGGAGCATGTGCCGGTTGGACAAGTTCGTTCGAATTCAGATTTATCATAAGTAAAACTACCACACGCCAATCATTTGACCAACCGTTTTTCACAGGATCTCAACGTTATGTCTTTCCCGTCTAGACCCATCATGGTTGATAGCACACAATACAGGCCCCCGACCGCTGTCCCTCCATACCACACGCCCCTTGTGCCTCAGTCGCGGGGTCGAGTGGGGCCGCCAGACGGTAGGCAGACTAGCGGCGAGCCGCACACCATGGGGAGGGAGATGTGGCTTGGGAAAAAAAAAAAAGAGTTGCGGTGAGATGAGAAAGGCGGGAGCCAAAAGGGGCAAAAAGAAAGCTTGGAAAAATGGGTATCCGTCCGTTTGGTCGCTCTCCAAACCTACCTCCCGGGCTGGCATTACTTGTGCCGTTAAGGCCGATGGCGCAATCCCGTCAGTGTTTGGTGTGACCCCCAGCCACATTGAGCGAGAAAGCCCATCAGCTACGTCGTAGGCACCATCCTACATCGAGAGCTCCTGGTGCACAAGCAGCGGGAGATCTCTGCGCCTGAGGTCCTGCTGTCCGGGGAAGCGTCTAGTCCGGCCGGTTGAGCTCGCCCTATCCGATGGGCGACCGAGGTATACCTACATGCACCTTATGCCTGCCGGCAGCCCTCGACTGATGTGTGCTGAGATGGCGTTTGCATGTCGTAGCGTTTCATCTTTGCCAATACATGATTATTTTCTCAGGCATAGAACACATGTCTCCGTACAAACGCCGCGACCACGGCTAGCATTCCCTGCCAGACCGCCACCTGGCCGCTAGGGGCCAGGCGAAATGGGTAGGGGTTATTGCAGATTACCTTCCAGACGGCCACCAGAGGCAGGTAGGTGGGGGAGGTGGCATGGCTTGTCCGGACGTGTTTGCGGTCCACGGTTGGGGATGCGGTGTGTGGTTGGGCTTGTGTGGGACCTGGCGAGGGAGGCTTGTCGTCCTTGTTCCGTTTTGCCTGGCCCGTCTGCCACTTGGTGTCTGCGATGTGCAGCCCCAAGGTTGCCGCAATTGGAAACTGCCATGGATCAGCTGCGGCATGCCCCGGAGCTTCGGCCATCTCGGACAGGCGAGCGTATACGCAGGCGGACACCGAGCACTTTGGACGAGGAACGTTGCGACTCGACGACACACACGCACACGCACACGTACACAACAGCCAGCTCTGCTGCGTCAAAAAAAGCGTTGCTCGTAACGACTCACTTGTGCCTGGTAAGATAGGTAGCTCCTTTGGTAGATGTAGTTCGCAGCCCCAGTCACCTCACTCACCCTGTATCAATCCTGAGCTTCCATCCGCCGAACTTTGATCCCCCGAAGCTCGGTTCCTGCTGGTCGGCATCGGGTGGGTGGATTCTGTTGCCCCTCCGGCCGGGATGATGTGCGTGCCCCCCCTACTGACTAAGGTCTGAGGGAGGCGCCGTTACAAGGGTTGTACCAATCGATTCAGTCACATGCCCGCTGTGCCTGAGCCTTTCCGTCTCACAATTAACGTGCTTTCTCGCTAGGGTTGCAATTTGACCCTTCCGCCCACCTAACCCCAGCCGCCTCATCAGGCGCTAGCGGTCCAGAAAGAGGAGTGACAAAAAAAAAGACGGAAAAAGCCTCTTGCTGTGTTTCTCCGACCCTCTCACTGCTTTCTATTTTTTTTTCTTTTATATCGACCTCGGCCCCTCCCTCCGACGTTAAATCCTCCTCCTTCCCTCCCACTCTTGTTTTCTTACGCGCCAGACGTGGTAATAGGATCAAGCCGAAGACAGTCCTCTTGTGCCGGATCACTCGGTTGGGTTTTCGCTTCGCTTTTGCTTGCTGCCCCTCGCATCCTTTATCTCGCGCCCCTCCGACATCACCACCACCACCGCCATTCCGACCGCAGCGATGGCGACTTCGAACGGCGTCAACGGCGGCGGCCCCAATGCCCGCCTGTCATCGTGGCAGCACTACAACGAGGGCACCTTCCTGTTCACCGTATGTGGCTTCTGCTACCTAATTCCTATGTCCCTCTATGGCTTTCCTTTTGCTTTTTCCCCCCATTGTTCGCCGACCTGAACGACGTAGATCACACATTCTGCTGCGTATCCCACCACTAACCCCATTTTCTCCCTTGCAGTCCGAGTCGGTGGGTGAGGGTCACCCCGACAAGATCGCCGACCAGATCTCGGACGCCATCCTGGACGCGTGCTTGGCCGATGACCCGCTCTCCAAGGTCGCTTGCGAGACGGCCACCAAGACGGGCATGGTCATGGTCTTCGGTGAGATCACGACCAAGACAAAGGTCGACTTCCAGAAGGTGGTCCGCAATGCCATCAAGGATATTGGCTACGACGACTCGTCCAAGGGCTTCGACTACAAGACCTGCAACCTGCTGGTCGCCATCGAGGAGCAGTCGCCCGACATCGCCCAGGGCCTGCACTACGAGAAGGCCCTTGAGGAGCTGGGTGCTGGTGACCAGGGTATCATGTTCGGATACGCCACCGACGAGACCCCGGAGCTGTTCCCCCTGACCCTGCTCCTGGCCCACAAGCTCAACGCCGCCATGTCTGCTGCCCGCCGCGACGGCTCCCTCCCGTGGCTGCGTCCCGACACCAAGACCCAAGTCACGGTGGAGTACAAGCACGACAACGGCGCCGTCATCCCCCTCAGGGTCGACACCGTCGTCGTCTCGGCCCAGCACAGCGAGGATATCACAACCGAGGAGCTCCGCAAGGAGATCAAGGAGAAGATCATCAAGAGGGTCATCCCCGAGAAGTTCCTCGACGACAAGACCGTCTACCACGTACGTTGCTTGCTTGCTTGCCTGCCCTGAAACTCTTGAGTGCTCTCCGGTGCCTGGGGGTGCCCTTCCTTGCTTCCTTCGCGCCCGATGGCCATGCAGGTGAAACTGACTCGTTGCCTGTTCTCTAGATCCAACCCTCCGGCCTGTTCATCATTGGTGGTCCCCAGGGTGATGCCGGTCTTACCGGCCGCAAGATCATTGTCGACACGTACGGCGGCTGGGGTGCGCACGGTGGTGGCGCCTTCTCCGGCAAGGACTTCTCCAAGGTCGACCGCTCTGCTGCCTACCTCGGCCGCTGGATCGCCAAGTCTCTGGTCGCTGCTGGTCTGGCGCGCCGCGCCCTGGTTCAGCTGTCGTACGCCATCGGTGTGGCCGAGCCGCTGTCGCTCTACGTCGACACGTACGGAACCTCGGAGAAGACTTCGGACGAGCTCGTCCAGATCATCCGCAACAACTTCGACATGAAGCCCGGTGTCATCGTCCAGGAGCTTGACCTCGCCAAGCCCATCTACTTCCAGACCGCCAAGAACGGCCACTTCGGCACCAACCAGACCTTCAGCTGGGAGAAGCCCAAGCCGCTCAAGTATTAGAGGGAGAGCAGGACTCGGTGTGTCCCCGCCAGGTGCCAGAATCAACTTCTCGTCGCCTTTCTCATTACATTAAAAAAAACCGCCGTGGCTTATCCCCCTACGGTGGGCATTGGAACTCATCTTTATCGACTCCGACTACTTCCATGACAACAAACCATGTCCTGGTGTCATACCCTACACAAAAGACATCATGACTTTACGACCTTTTGTTTTTGCTCTAATCTTTCTCCCTGTCTGTTATCATTTTTCTCTCACCATATCTTCGGCCAGTACTTTCGGAACTTTAACATTTCATGGGCGGGCAGGCGTACGGTTCTCAACGAACCTGGATTTTATATATCCTTGTTTTCCAATTGGCTTTTTTCACCTTGCTTGGCCTCCCTTCTCACGATCACCTCCCGAGTCTTATCATCGTCCGTCCTGATGAGCCTCGGTTTGCGAACAAAAGGACACTTGCAGAAAAAGAAATGCACAAGAGTTATGGGATGGCTTATTTAGGGGTTCTCCGATCTATGTTCGTCTTCATCTACCTCTTTTTTTACGTCTGCTTTTTGCGTTTGGAGTGGGAGGCGTCTTTCAACAAAGACATACATGGGAGGCAAACAGAGGGGACGCTCGGTACTGTCTCCATCTATTGCTTTGCTCTGGGTTTCGGGTACCATAAAGGAAGCATTTGGAATCGGCGTTAAACGAGGAAGACAAAAGAACTTCAACATCTTTGCTTTCCTAGTTTTCTAGCCGGCATATAGAAGCGTCGTCGTCAGATCAGAGGCGGAACCCCCAGCGTGGAACGGGGGTGGTTGAGGTGTCTAGAGGCACGCGGGAGTTTCCCCCAAAGAAGAAGAATGGATTGGTTTCTTTTTTGGGCAATCAACAGGGCACGCGCCGTTGGGCTTGGGTGCTTGCTTGATGGGACGTGAGCCAGTCTAATGCGGTGTTGCGTGCGGTCGGGCATGTTCCTCGCGGCATGGGACGGGGGAGGGCCCTTCCGGTTGTTGTTTCAGACCGTCGGCGTCGGTTTGCGTAGATGTCTCCTGTCTGCACGTCTTTGATGCTATGATGTTGACTGGTAGGCTATACCTTTTTATCGCTCGAGGATATGGAAGCAGACTAGGGATACCTCACATTTGGGTACCTCATCCCCACCTGGGTAAGTGGTAGTTGTCTTTGTGCGAGAGTGATAAGGACGACACCTACATAAAAGTCGACGCCTCACATGACGACAATGGAACCTTAATTATCCTAACCCTACAACCTATCCTTCAAACCGTCCTTTCTGTGTTGTTTCCAATGCTCGTTTATCCTCTTTTTTCTTCTGGTTGCACGGAACACAGCCTTTACTTGTGGACATGAGAGGGCAGGTAAGCTAGGGACTAGCCAGGGCCGAGACAGCCGCACTGTCTGGAGCAATTGCCCAATCAGCAGCAGCGGGGCGAATCAAACCCAACACGAAAAATGAGCGAACGAACCAGGCCGACTCTACCTCGAAGCCTAGCGTGTGGTTTGTGCGAGTCTTCCAGCTCAGACAGGTACCTGTTGCTGTATGTACCTGGTAGCCAGTTGGGCAGACGGCATGTCACAGCGGGCCAAGAATACAAAGATGGAGACACACATGCAAAAGCCAGAGTCCCGCCGAGGGGGGCGTATTTTAAATCTCACATACCTCTATAGGGGTAGAGAACGTTGACGTCGGCCACCACCGTCATTAGGGGGTACAGTGCCCGCATAGTGTATTACAATGCTTTCAACTTTTTTTTTCTTTCACGCTTTTCCTTATTTTCCCAATTCCTTTCCGCAAAATACCAGCGAAGCTAAACCTGCCCAAAGCACGCAAAAAATAAAAAATAAAAAATTAAGCTAATATGATAAATTAATCGTTGTATTTGCTTTCCCAGTCGGCCAGCGCGTTTAATCCCACTATTTTTTTTACATCCTTTGCATTTTGGGTGTTTTGCGGAAAGGAAAAAGGAAAAGGACGCTGAAGCGCAAGAAAAAAAAAAGTTGAAAGCACTGTAGTACACTATGTGGGCACTGTACCCCGTAATAACCCCCGGTCGGTGGGCCGGCTTTAACGTTCTGTACCCCTACAGATGTTAGGGAGACAGACGGGGACGCAGGGGTGGTGTGGGAGGAGGAGCCTTGTCGTTGAAGGATAATCTCTACACGTTCCTGGCCGTGTTTGGATTTGCAAGGTTAGAGTCAGTGGCCTTGCTTGGGTTCCTGGCGAGAGGAGTCAGGTGTTTGTGCAGAATGTCTGTGAGAGAAAAAAAAAACCTGTGTCCGACCAGGAACCCTCGACCGGGCAGGACCTGTCCCCCCTTTAGCTCCGGTACGTGAAATGTCCCTTCAATGACCCCTGGCGCCGCACTTGACGTGTCGAGCTACGGACGTTAGGAGATGTCGACAGCCTGGAGGCTTGATTCTCAGCCGTTGCAACGACTCTCAATGCACCCATGTGGCTGGCAATCGGCCTGCTGGGCCTCTCTTTCTCCCCTTTCCAAGCCCTGACTCCGCTCCCCACACGGCCTAACAATGGCCCTGGTCCAGACCCGATTGGGAGATTGATTCCTTGCCGTCGGGCCCGCATCAAAGTCGGTCGCAACCACCACCCCCGACCCCTGATCCCAAAAGAACAAGAACTCCCAAGGAACCGGGCGAATCAGCCCTGCTCCACGCTGCTGTTCCGTTTCGAACCAGCCCCCGTCCGCCGCTGTACAGCATGCCGCTGCGTGCCCTCCAGAACGCGCCGCCGCCAGCCCACCAACATCTTTCCTCCTGAGGCAACTTCGCGCCGACCAGAGTCAGCGCTGCGTCTATCTGTCCACCCCCGTCAGGGCAACCACCACCACAGCGAGCCCGGTCGCCTCCCCCGCGCATGACGACCTACCAGCCATTGACATAGAGGCCACTCAATAGGCCCAACACACTCGTTTCTATCCCGCCGCCTCAGTCCTCGGGCCTGCTTCGTCACGCCCCCGGGCCCCCGGGACCCCGATCCGTGACGGCCCTCGATCCTCGTCTCTCGCCCGTCTAGTCCCTCTCAACACAACATCGGAACCGCCAACATGGCCACCACCGCCTCGGGGCCGGCCGCCTCGGCGCCGCAGCCGTACCCTACTCTCCCCGCCTCGCCCACGCTAACGAACCCCGACATGATTCTCCCCGATTACCCCGATTACGACCGCACCTCCTCCCCCGATATGGATCAGGATCGCTCCCAGTCGCCGTTGATGATGTGGAAGAACGCTCACGCCGCCGCCACGAGTAGCCAGCTGCATCAGCTATATACCATGTCTGGCCCGCCTCTCCTGCCCACCGTCAGTCCCGTCACCCCGACCACGCCTATCATCTACGGCAACGGCACCATGCTCTCCGACATTGGAGAGGTGACCGAGGCCGAGAGTACCCCGGGCAGGCCCTCGCCCGCCCGCCGCCGAGACACGTCCCCTGGCGACGAAGCCCTGCGTTCCTCCCCAACAATGGGCCTGGAGGCTGTCAGGAAGCTACAGAGGCAGCGTTCGCACGACCGCGGCCGCCGCTCGTCGCTCGACAGCAACAGCACCATCACCACGCAGGAGCAGACAAACTTATTCGCGGACTTTGACGACACCGTTAGCGTTGGCGACAGCGTCTTCCAGGGTGACGACGAGGAGAGCGTAGCAGACTCGTACGTTCCCGACGAGGCGCCCAGGAGCCTACCACAGTCTCAGCACCCCGCACGCCACAACGGTCTCGAAGATGGGTTTTCCAGCGCCGAAAGGCGGGCAGCTGCTGCCTCGGACCGCCAGTCCGCTTTCTTGCTAAGTCAGCGTGCGGAACAAATCCTCGCTAACGCGAAGCGGAGACTGACGGCAAGTTCCCTCCCTGCCCATACGGTTCCCCGTTCGCTTCCAGAATATGCCTCGCGCCGGCTGTCCCGCCACTTGCTGACGTAGCCTCTTGCAGACTATGGAGGGTAATCTCAACCGAGCACGGAGCTCGCTGCACACTTCATCGCCGTCCATCTCATCTCTGGGCTCGGATGGCACAGTCCCGTCCCCCACGCTCCAATTTCGATCGGGGAGCAGTCGGGACTCTACATCCTCGCTCGGCCATACGCGCATGGGCAGCGACAATACTCTGCGTATCGGAATTCCTGTCAAGGTCTACCCACAGAGATCTGCCAGCGCACTCGGCGCCGCAGGCGGCTATAGGCAACCGTTGACTACCTCGCGGAGCGTTGACCAAATCCGGGAGAGTTCGCGGTATGCATCAGCACGCCCAACCCATAAACCTCTCGTGGGCCTCGACAGCCCACTGGAGGCCTTGAGTGAGAATGAGGACGACGCCTCGAGGCCGCATGCAGGCGCCGAGTCTTCCATCCGCAATAGCGCTTACCTGGAAGGGTATCTGAGCCCAACGTTTGGCCAGGGGAACGATGGGGCCAAGGTTGTCACGCGGTCCGCGTCTACCACGCAGATGCGCGACATACGCGACCAAGTCAAAGATCTCAAAGGCAAAATCTCGAACCTACGGGACCAAGCACGTGCCGACAGTCTACGCAGACGAAGCTTCCAGAGCCTGCGAACCCCGAGTCCCTTCACCCACGCTCGGATCGAACAGTGGTGTCCTGAACCAACAACTAATAGATTGGAGGATGCGGAGGAAGCTGTGTCTCGGGACTCGGAGCAATCAGGCGCGGACGGCGACACGAGCCCCGGAAGAAACGGCGACATTGCAGAATACGGGCGTGCCCAGGCGTCTTCAGGGGTAACTCCCGAATCCGAGGCAGGTAGCCTTCAAGAGGAGGCGATGGCGGCGCTACAGAATGGCGACGAGTCCCTCGTCTTGGGAGCGCATGCCAACTCCGAGGCTAGCGAAACCAACGATGATGATGTGAGCGACATGTTGACCGAGAACGGCGACTTCGGGGATGATCAGTACGAAACCGCCGACGCCCAGGGTTACGAGAGCGAGAGTGGTGAGTCGGCATATCACGATACGCTGCAGCACCCAATCTCGCACGAAGACCGGAAAGATGCGTTCGATTACGAGCACTTCATCCTACACAGCGCTCTTGGGACGATCAGTCAGCAACGACTGGCAAGGGGCGACAGGAGCGGGAGCTTCAGTTCGGACGACTCGGTCGTGACCACCCGCGGCCCATTTGGCATCGACGCAACCATCCTGGAGGAGACGACGGGCGAGCCTAAACTCAGGAGACGCGGCAGCAACTCATCAGACTCTACGGCGGCATCTGTCGGGTCTGTAGAGTCGTTCGCCACGGCGGACGAGGGGCGGAGGAGCCACGATGGCGGCCGAAGAACAGCGGATGCTGATCGGCCACGGGGACAGAGCCGCGTCCGGGAGCACGGCCGCAACTCCACCAGCCCCCCGGTCGATACTACTCAGGCAGGCCACGGCCCGCTCGAGCCGGGAGCGGACGGCATTGGGGAGCTAAGGTCGCCGCCTGTGGCTACGGTCCTACGGCGGCCGGCCAGTAGCGCGGCTGTACCGTTCCACCGGCCATCGGTCTCGTCGTTTGAGTCGACGGGCACGATGCGAAGCTTCCCGCTGGTGACGAGGAAAAAGGCGGCCAGCGTATCATTGACAGGCCACTCTATTGCCGGCCTCCACAGCTCGTCCCCGGACGGGGACCTGCGGGCCATCTCGGACAAGCTGATGAACGAAGCAGCGGCCGTTTACGCACAGCAGGCTGGGCCCGGCTACCAGGTCGGGCGGACCAGCCCAACGAAGCGGGGCGGCAGCGTCCTGGTCAGGAGCAACACGCCAGCGCCGATGCAACATCTGCTGCGCGAGGACCAGTTCCTGGTGGAACGCCTGGTGGCGGGTATTGGCCGGTGCGTCCTGGGGCTGAGCGAGAACGGGAGGGCCGGTGCCGAGAGCAGGATGTATCACAGGCGCCTCGACGCGGCCCGCAGGATTCTGGAAGGTATCGATTCCGTGTAGCGGTCTCGCTACCACGGCCTGGTGGCATCTCTCGTCAAGACTCATGTAGCTTACACATGTACCCTTTACCGGCTCGCGGGCTAGTTTGGTCTTCACGGATGTGTGCGGTTCTTGTGTCCTTCCATTCTTTTATTTTTTCCCCTTTGTGCGGATGATCTTTTTTGGCCTCTTCCACAGCCAGCCGGCCGGACAGCCAGGCACAAGTGGTCTGGTTGTGCCCCGCCCTGGGCTGCCCTTGTCCTCTTTTTCTTCCCCCCGATCTCTGCCGTTCCTTACTCTTTTCTTTATGGATGGTCTAACGATCTTGACCGGCTCAGGCGGTTTGTCGTCTTGGTTTTATCCCCTCTCCCTTGGTTCCCGAGAGGCTATGCCCCGCCATGTCGCCCTTGTTAGTTTCGATACCCACCCTCTTACATCTTCTATGTACCTTTGTATCTTTTTCTTTTCTCTTTCTTCTCTGCCCA